TGTTAAAGGTTACCCCTGAATGCATATATGTAACGTGTTAGTCGTTGTAAATAAAACTTACATAGTTTTACAGCGTAATTGAAACTAGTTGATGAAATTTTCGGATGTAGTGAAGAAAAAAAATCAATTATAAGAAAGTTTTTGACTAGTGAAAATGATAGCATTTTGGGGGCTTTATAGGCCTCTAGTTCTACTTTTTTATTCCAGTGTAAATGCTCGAAATATTTAAAGTTGATGTAGGTTATAAAAAACTGAAAGCTAAATAATACCAGGCATTAATATTTTTCTCTATAAAAGAATAGTTTGAAAATAATTACTTAAGTGAAAGTAAGAAGTTTAACAGCAGTCCCACAGGTATATAAAAAAGGGGACAAGAAATGATCTCGCTTTACGTGTAGAAAGATCGTGATTAAAGTAATAACATAGAAATAAGAAAGAAACAACTTCAATCAAGATATTATTATTCTCTAGATGCTATGTTATACGAGAATAAAGAAATTACACATTAAAGCTCATATATCAATTATTCCCAGAGACGCCGTTATTTGCGAGTGACTGAGATACGTAAAGTAAAATCATTCTAAAAATGAAAGAAAATATGTACATGATCAAATCTTCTAACAAAATACAACTGTGGTCAGATATATTTACGCTTGACGTTATATATACATGTGTAATGGTAGTTTTTTCCGATTCATGAATATTTTTACATCTGCTGTAACGACAGAAACGATCCATAACTATTAACAGATTGTTATAAATCGTAAATGTAATCAAATATTGGCTCCCTAGTTACCAATACCAAAGATATCATAAGCGTCCTGCAGTTCTTTATTGTTCCCATAGAAACGGTTATCACTTTCTAGCCGGGAACATAACTAACTGTTTTTACTCTAAAATATACAAAAAATGTTTACAGCATATTGGAATATGAGTTTATACATGTATGTTTTATAAACATGAATCAATAAACATTTTTGTTTTAAATTTAATTTTAATGAAAAGGCAGACGAACAGTCGTCTTCTCGAAAATAATGTTTCAGTGTAATCGTTTATTGTTGTGAGCACGTTAATTCATAATATTGTAAAATATAATCAAAATTATTCAATCTGTCCTCGGAGAAAATAATCTAAATACGAAACCGGAGCTATGAATTTTGAGCAATACCCAAGAGAAGTCTTTGCCCGACGATAAATTCCATGTGATCTATTTATTCGACTGAGTAATATGAAGAGATTTTAGAAATTTTGACAGAAGATCTTATCTCGGCTGATTCTCGAGGATTGTGTTGTATTTTGATGGGTAATTGCACTGCGGGATCGGCATCAAAAATACCGCTAATACATCTCCAAAGATTCGTATTTCCCCAAAATTAGATTGGATGTCGCTAAATTTCCTAATGGTTCTATAGAATAAAACCATAAAAGAATGATTAAAATGTTTTTTTATACAGAAATTTGTTGAATCTTAGTCAGATAGAAGCTTGTCTTAACTGTCGCCTAATAGACGCTTGCAGAGAAATTTCCTTTAAAGCTAGTTTTTTTAAGAACTGATCGTTGTGCATGCCGCTTGGGAAATATTGTAATCATTCTAACCGGTCATAAAAATCAGAGCTCGCTGTGTTTGATGTAATTCAGATCTAAGAAACCTTGTTTGCAGTCTGCGTATGAATATTCTGAAAGGAAAAAAATCTGTGTTGAAACCTAATGCAGTATTCAAAAAGCATGGGTGTTTACATCACATGCATATGGCACCAAGGTTAATTCTTTTATCACAAGAAAAATAACTGCTTTTTAATAGTTAAGGACGTTGTTGGAACATAAGGCATCCCAACAGTCCTGATGAGGTCTAGAAAACTAAAAACTTTCACTTTAAGTTACATATATCATAGACCAGAAATGTACCTCGTATTTGTCTATACTTGATCATATTAAATAAATAGTTTACAGTTTCGAACATAACATCAGCACCTTGAAACGTAAGCAGGGTTTCCTACTAAAATTTACCATAGTCAATGTTCCGAAATTGCCATTGTATATCTGTTTTCTAGAAACAATTTCATTAATTCGGGACGAGAAAATGTGTTAAAACCTGGTGATTATACTTCTATCAGGTTTCCTGGAAACGTAAAATATCACTGTTTCTTGGGCAAACCTTCATATAAAGGCTGTTGTTTTCCCCTCCATTATCTACTAATCAGATTCTACTAACTCAATTTGTAGTTTCTGTTTTTGAACGTCTAAGAAATTGTCTAGGACAGGAAACTTTTTTTACTAAATGACTGGACAGATAGCGTTTTATGAATGTATCCCAAATGATCGGCTTGGGTATTTAACAGGCGAAATGGAGCTCATAAACTGTTTTTGTCAGCTCATTTGTCTCATATTAATTTCCGTTGTATAATGGAATGGAAGAAATCACTTTATTAGTCTGTGTGAAGGACAATGATCGATGTTTGGTAGGGAGAAGAAGGTCACGTGTTATATATTTGATTCTTGCTGTTTCCCATTCTTGTATTCTCTATTACAATACTGTTATTAAATGAACGAAGTTTATTTCTTCCTCTCGCGTTGCCCTCTGTACAAGTAAAACTCATTTTGAACCCTTGATGCGCAGGAAATTCGATTTTTTAAATAAATCTTTTAACCATGTTTAGTTATACTTGTATATATATATATATATTTATATATATAATGCGCTTTTAATAATCGAGTCGAGTTCTATGTTAAATATCATCTAAATAATGAACTAGGCAGTTCGAGTTTTATGTTTTAAAAACTCGTCAAATCTGTCAAATCGTATTAACATTGTATCTTCTATTTCAGTACAACACAATCATATCAACACATTTGTTTAATCCCAATCATATCAACACATTTGTTAAATCCCAATCATATCAACACATTTGTTAACTCCCAATCATATCAACACGTTGGTTCAACACAATTATAACAACATGTAAGTGCATTACAATTATAACAAACTGTTGGTGAACCACAATCATATCACTACGTTAGTGCATCACTAGCACAACAACACGTTATTATATCAACAGCATCACAATTATATCAACATGTTAGTATATCACAATCATATTAATACATCATAACAACACGTTAGTTTATCAACACGTTACAACACAATTACTTATACCTGTAATATATCACATTCATAACAAAATGTCCTTATTTTTGTAAATTACAATCATATCGACACGTTATCGCAACACAGTCATTTCAGCACATTTGTACATCACAATTATATAAACAAGTTAGTGCATCACTCTCATATCAACATGTTAGAACATCAAACTCATGTCAACAAGTAAGTTCAACACAATCATGTCAACACGTTAATGCAACATAATCATGTCAACACGTTACTAATTCACAATATCAATAAAGATAGTATATCACAATCTTATTAACACGTTAGTACATAATAATCATATCATCACGTTATCACAAGACATCTCATTGGTGCATCACAATAATATCAACCCGGTAGTACAGTACAACACAAACATAACAACACGTAAGTGCATCTTAATTTATATAAAAAAGTTAGTACAACACAAACTTAACAACATGTTAGTACATCTTAATCTATATAAATAGTACATCTCATTCATATCAACACGTTAGTATATCGCAATCAAAAGAACACGTAAGAAAAACACAATCATGTCAATACGTTAGAACACCACAATCACATCAACACGTTAGTATATCCCAATCATATCACCACGTTAGTATATCCCAATCATATTAACACGTTTGTATATCACAATCATATCAACACGTGAGTATATCACAATCATATCAACACGTTAGTATATCACAATCATATCAACACGCTTTCATATCTCAATCATATCAATATGTTAGTACATCCCAATCATATCAACACGTTAGTATATCACAATCATATCAACACGTTGGTATATCACAATCATATCAACATGTAAGTATATCACAATCATATCAATATGTTAGTACATCCCAATCATATCAACACGTGAGTATATCCCAATTATATCAAAACGTCAGTATATCCAAATCATATCAACACGTTAGTATATATCAATCATATCAACACGTTAGTACATCACAATCATATCAACACGTGAGTATATCGCAATCATATCAACACGCTATCATATCTCAGTCATATCAATATGTTAGTACATCCCAATCATATCTACACGTTAGTACACGCCAATCGAATCAATACGTTAGTATATCACAATCATATCAACACGTTGGTATATCACAGTCATATCAACACGTTAGTATATTACAATCATATCAACACGTTAGTATATCACAATCATATCAACACGTTAGTACATCACAATCATATCAACACGTTAGTATATCACAATCATATCAACACGTTAGTATATCCCAATCATATCAACACGTAAGTTTATCACAATCATATCAATACGTTAGTACATCCAAATCATATCAACACGTTAGTATATCTCAATCATATCAACACGTTATAATATCACAATCATATCAACACGTTATTATATCACAATCATATCAACACGTTATTATATCACAATCATATCAACACGTTGGTATATCACAATCATATCAATACGTTATTATATCACAATCATATCAACACGTTAGTACATCACAATCATATCAACACGTTGGTATATCACAATCATATCAACACGTTAGTATATCACAATCATACCAACACGTTAGTATATCACAATCATATCAACACGTTGGTATATCACAATCATATCAACACGTTAGTATATCACAATCATATCAACACGTTATAATATCACAATCATATCAACACGTTATTATATCACAATCATATCAACACGTTATTATATCACAATCATATCAACACGTTAGTACATCACAATAATACCAACACGTTAGTTTATCACAATCATATCAACAGGTCCATTAATATAATTTGAATCTCATTCATCACGACCATAATATCATATTGTTTTTTTTTACAGCCATTAAATAAAAGGCCAATCATGCAGGGGAACCACTTTGACCCGATTGACCGCGACGGAAGCATGAGATCAGACCGGAAGGAGCGCCAAAGGTTGGGCAAGTCACGTGCAAGTATCAGCAGTTACAAAGGGAAGTACAGTCTCAATCACAGAGTTCGCAAGAAAAGTTCCACACCAGAAGAACAGTGTATATCAAACTTGAAGATGATTCTACAGTGTTATAATGTGTTCATATTGGTATGCTTTTAAGTTATTTTGGTATAATGTTACGACAGCAAAACAGATTACATTCATAGTATAGTAGCGCTGGTCAAGATTTCATTCTTCTAAAACACCGTCCAAGAATAATGTAACCCTTGATTGTGGATTAATTGTATTTTCTTTTTCACAGTCGGGTTACAAAAAGGGTCTTTTGTACGGATATATTTTCTGTTTTATTTCACTCGGCTTGTTGCGATGAAATTCCAAAAGGAAGAATTGGAAAGTCCGGTGATGATATGAATACAGACTTTGATTCAACCGAAGCTGGTCTCTTAGCGGCATTAATTAGTGGAACAAGGTAGAGACTGTTAAACATTTAATTACTCACAACTTCTTGAAATATTCATAGCTCTCTTTAAGAAAGGCGAAATGTTACCAGTTCAATGCTGTATATAGTGCGTGTAATCAGCGTCGCTCGAGTTACTGGCTATAAATATGTTTCAGAATGTTTTACATCAAATATTCATGGACGGCACCCGTCTTAGCACATAATCTTATAGATTAGATCGCTGAGATTGAGAGATTTGGCGCGGAGATTGGAAAAGATTGAACACTGGGAACAAGAAATTACTACAGGCTTTGAAGCACTTTCACACCAAGGCAATTCCTATATTGAACAATACATTATTGGCTACCGCGTTTTGATCTGTTAAAAATCGTATGTAATAACACTTTCTGTCATATATCAAGCGTCTGTATCAATTTGCCCACTACATTCTTTATACGTTTCAACATTAATTTACCGAATTCTATATGATTAGACATGAGTTGTTTGGCCGAAATATTAGCATGCACTTGTTGTGTGAATAAAACTTTGTACGTTAATTTCAAACTCTTTGATAAACAATGACAAAAAATCGCAAAGGAATCTATAGGTTTATTTATACTTCTTTATAACGGATAAAAAACCAACAACAATATTTGTCTGTTAACTGTCCTTCCTATCAAAACATAGATTAATTTCTTTTTATCGTTTTTAAATGTTTTAATGTCATAAATCATTTCATGTCGTATTCTACATTTATCCCTTACCACGCTCATTATCTTAAATGGACTTGCCCATCTTTAATCCGGAATCAAGGGATTTAAAAAATATAAATATTATGGCTGAATATCGAACAGTGCAGACCATGACATGACCACACGGATGTGCCGGCTGATCTTGGTATGCATTGGTCTCTTTGGCAGATTTAGTTGCCGCCAACAAGCTAAAGGTTAATCTGCAGAAAACGGTTGTCGGCTGTTACCATAAAACTACAGCGTTTCAATGGTCATCTTGATTTTTACGTATTTTTGATACGTAAAACATTCATTCTGTTTCTTAGAGGCAATAACAGTATACCGACCCTGACTCCTATATCGCCAATATTTGTTCCTTTTTTTCTCATTTTTGCACACGTTTAATTTATTTTGTGTCCAACTTTCATATTGACAAGAAATTAAATGTATGCGTTGATACGTATTATATGCCATTCGCAAGAGAAATCATTACTTTCAAATTTCATTTTAGGGGGAAAAGGCAAAAACATTTTAATGAATAAAACGTAATAATAATTTACGTGGAAAAAAGTCCGAGTAAGTACGTGTAAATGATACTTTACATTGGAAAAATACTCAAAAAATCTTGCAATATGCCCGGATTTGTTTTAAGTCATTCATAGACGTTGAGTCGTATTTCCACTGTATACATAATATATATGATACTTGCTGACGAATTTTAATCGAATTTGAGGACAAAAAGAATCTTATAACTTTTTATTTCCCTTACTAGATGTCACCGCTCTTCTTCCAGAATATTTTACCGTTCTAACGAAATGCCGTAAAGTGTGTTTAGCGACACTGGAAAAGCTAGTCTGCTATATTCCATATTTTAGGAACAGTCAGTTTATACATTAACATTGTTTGAATTGGTGATTAAGTGTTTGTCTAGGAGACAGCAGATCAAAATCTGCATAAATCATAAACCAGAGCGTGATTTTCTCGTTTTTATTATTAAGATCGAATTGCATTAGCATTTGGGATGTTTGAGTAAAGACAACACGTAGACAATACAATAGTTAATAAATTCTGTGATATATTGCAAATGTGTATATAAATGAATTTATATAAAGAATGACAGTACTCGAGAAAGAAACTGATCTCTGTTTATGAAAGAAGCCGCCAGTATTCTCAAGAGATTGTTTTCCTTAAAACGCAGATTTGAATTACAATACGTTGACTTTTCTTTAAATAATACAAATACCGTTTGTTACTTGTTACGTATGCTTATTTTAAGAAGACTACAGTATAATGATTGCACAGAGCACATGTGCATTATGTTTAGACTAGGTAAAACACGCTGAATCTTGCAAGAACATTACACATAAGCAAAGTAAAGACAAGTACATTGTACAATAGCTGAACAAGGTGTATCCAACAAGTACATTGTGCCATGACCAAATCTTGCAAGTACACTGTGCAACGGTAAAGCAGGTTATATCTGGCAAGTACATTGTGCTATGTCTGGGTAGTGCACTGTGCAACGGTAAAGCAGGTTATATCTGACAAGTACATTGTGCTATGTCTGGGAAGTACACTGTGCAAAGGTAAAGCAGGTTATATCTGGCAAGTACATTGTGCTATGTCTGGGAAGTGCACTGTGCAACGGTAAAGCAGGTTATATCTGGCAAGTACATTGTGCTATGTCTGGGTAGTGCACTGTGCAACGGTAAAGCAGGTTATATCTGACAAGTACATTGTGCTATGTCTGGGAAGTACAATGTGCAAAGGTAAAGCAGGTTATATCTGGCAAGTACATTGTGCTATGTCTGGGAAGTGCACTGTGCAAAGGTAAAGCAGGTTATATCTGGCAAGTACATTGTGCTATGTCTGGGAAGTGCACTGTGCAAAGGTAAAGCAGGTTATATCTGGCAAGTACATTGTGCTATGTCTGGGAAGTGCACTGTGCAAAGGTAAAGCAGGTTATATCTGACAAGTACATTGTGCTATGTCTGGGAAGTACAATGTGCAAAGGTAAAGCAGGTTATATCTGGCAAGTACATTGTGCTATGTCTGGGAAGTGCACTGTGCAAAGGTAAAGCAGGTTATATCTGGCAAGTACATTGTGCTATGTCTGGGAAGTGCACTGTGCAAAGGTAAAGCAGGTTATATCTGGCAAGTACATTGTGCTATGTCTGGGAAGTGCACTGTGCAACGGTAAAAGAGGTTATATCTTACAATTACATAGCACAATTGTATTTCAGGTTGTACTTAGTAAGTAAATTGGTTAATTGTGCTATATCTGGCAAGTACATTTCCTTTGGTTAAAACAGGTTGTTTCCGGCTAGTACATTTTGTAAATCATGCAAATATATATACATTGTGCAATGAAAAAAAAACACACACACACACACACTTTGTCTTCCCATAATATTGTGCAATGACTAAGTATGGAAGACATAATCTGGCAAGTACATTGCGCTATGATTAGGTAAAACAAGTGCATTGTGCAGTTAATAGCTTAAAAACATTGATTCTCACAAGGTAATGACGGAAAATAAATCATAATTTACCCCCGCATTGACATAAATATTTGATGAAGTTATCAATAAGAAATTATTGAAGCAATGTAGGAACGCACGAGTTGTTTCTGGGATTATTTCTAGTAGTTGTTTCTCTGGCGGTAATTACCATTATTATTTCCGTCTGCTAACACTGACCCGAGATGTTTTTTTATTTGAACACGATATTAATGAAATTGTCGTAAAGTACGATATGGCGTTCGTGCACGGATTTCCTGTAAAATACACAAAATGTACTTTGATCGCTGCATTCGTACACAATTTTCTCATACCGTTATTTAATCATAACAACTATGAGTATTGTGGCATGTAAATTTTCTTTTTATTCTGCTAGCTATAATAATTGTCACGTGACGTTTACGATTTTTTCTACAGCTTTGAAGTTCTCTAATGTAAGTGCAGAAAAAGAGTCAGTCCTGACATGCACTGATATCTTACTCAATTTATACCATCAGTATGAAATAACATATATCTGTTCTCATACTAGGCCTTTCTGACGTCACTGAAGTTGAACCATCTGCCAGTCTCTGCTGGCAATGAAGAGAAGTTTATTACATTAAAATATTGTATGATTGATATATTGTTGTGTAATATGTAATTGTTTGTCGATTGATAGTTTCAAGTTTTATTCAATATATATCCTAGTAGATTGCACATTTACCATACAAAAACATGAGACCGAGTAAAGTCGTACCATTAACGCAAAATGCAACTTTTTATCTATTGATGTATTTTTTGCGGAAATAGAAACCAGTTTGAAGACTTCTTTTCGTGTGTGCAGGAAAAAAACACATCAAAAACAACTTGTAGGACATAATTTCTGTGAAACACTAAATGTAAACAACTTAAGTTTTACTCGTTTTTAAAAGTAAAAAGTGAGTCATTGAATAAGAGTACCCTGTATTTATGACGTTTATCTTTCCTTCGCTTGGATTTTGCTAGGCCGGTTCCTGTATTTCCTTACTTTGATTGTGAAACAAGTTTTTTCTTCATTTTCATATATGTTGTCTGACCCATATCCTGTTGTTGGCGGACATATTGAGAGACAGACATCATGCAGCGTTAGTCACTTCTCAAAATGTAAATCCGCCATATGTAACGTACATGTATATCATACCCCACTGAAATAGTGAATGCGACTCAGTACTTGTTGGAAGTATAATATTGGACCATGTTATATCATTTTAATGAAAATCAATCAAGGTCTTGAATTTTGGTAGGAATATACGGGGTCTGAAATTTGTTAATGACTATAAAATTTGTTTCTCATAAGAAAGTTCAATAATTCTGTATCTCATCACAATAATTATATTTTATTCGCTCTTTCTACTTTATATAATCAAGTAGTTTCCTAGTGTTTTGTCTCCGGAGAGACAGACACGTGCTAATTTATGTTTCTATACGCTAAAATAAATAACGTGTTTATGAACATCCAGCATATTTGATATTGCCAAGATGTCATTAAACTTATCACTGATATTCAGCAGGGGAATATACAATATCATCTTTATACTTAGAAATCTATAAATCTTACATTAAAAAAGAACACTAGGCATAAAGACGATGCCATATGCTTTGAAACAGAATCTGTGAATGATAATTAACAGTTTTCTTGATGAATATTGATTATACACCTTCTTGATAAAAATATTGAGCTTGCATCAATTTGATAAAGATATTGATTGTGCATCAATTTGATAAAGATATAATTGGTAACCGGTTCTGATAAAAAATATTGATCGGGTAGAAACTTTTTAAATGAGTAATGATAAGGTACCAAGTTTGATCGCTTAATATTGATTGGTACCAGTGGGTAAGATCTTTAAATATTACATGGTGACGAGAAACAGTGTATCAATGACTTATCATTTTCATTTGTTTAACATTTGACCCGATATAACCGGAAGTGAATAACCTTTGCCCCTGTAGTCTGACCAGGCTCTATTCTGTCGGTAGCTTAAATTGTTTAGCTTTAATATTGTAGTGCACTCTCTTAAACATTGACTTGACTGGTCTGAGTCTAAAGCTGGTCGTATCAGTTGGTTAAGTGCTGAAATTGGAGAAATTTAACAAAATATTGATGATTTTGATAAACATTGTTTAGTATGTATATTAAGAACGATGACAGACGACTGTTCAGAAGACTCCTGTCCCTGGTAACCAGACAACCTTACTACACCTGATCACGTGACATTAACAATTACTAAAGTGGCAGCAATATTAAGATATTAAATTGTTATTATAGCTAGCTCCTGTATATTTTATAACGATATTACGAATGCACGTGTTTACGACATATCAATGTTTATAATTATATTTCAGATACTTGGTTGTGGTGTGCTTGGTGTTGGGGTGTGGCTGCTTGTAAAGGAGTTTAACACACGCGAGATGTCGGCTATAATGGGATCACGACTTGTAGAAATGATCACGTATGGTCTGATAGGGGGCGGAGGAGCGGCAACTATACTCGCTTTCTGTGGATGTTGTGGTACAATGAAACAAGAAAAATTCGTGCTAGGCTTTGTAAGTTTGAAACCCTTTACTTCAGTTTAAAATTATTGTAAGAACTACATTCTATATCTCATTAGCTTTATCATTTTTGATGTATGGAGACTTACAGTACAATCTGTGCGGAGAAACATCCTTTGAGACACATAGATTTTGGCTGTTGCTGGAAAGTGTTGCCCTGAAGAATGAAGAAAAATTGAAACTTATGTTGTAAAGATCTAATTGTTCTACATAAGGTGACTTTGTGGAGATTTCACTGTACATTAAAATCGCCATTTGCCATCTTAAAAGGTGATTCTTTCTGAAATGCAAAACAAAACTCCAAACATAAAGTATGATTTAAGTTATAACATGTATAAATAGCTTCTATTTTATATTTTCATCTCTCTGAAATATGACAAAATCATTATTCTAATACGCGAGATAGTATTCGGCTTCTTAACCCTTAATTGTTTGATTTATTTATTTCGGTAGAAATGAGAGAAAAACATCTCGTTAGAAAGCCCATATTGCATTAATTTGAATTTATGTCTCTGTCGGTAATTACGCCCATAACGGCACGCTAATCCATCAATGAAAATTAATAAAACAAAGGCAAAAAACTGATATTTCAGAGGAAATAGTAAGAAGTATGTTCCCAGTTTAACTGAGATATTTCAACTGTCTTAGGTCTAATTCCTGTAACAAACACATACATATAATTTAACTATTGGATACAATAAACAAGTGAAACAGCGCTCGTATAATGGCTATTTTGTGCGCTTTTTAAATATCATCATGGAGGGTTTTATTAATATAAAACGTTCCTACAAAATATAATAATGTAACTATGCTTCACACATATATATATCTTCACGTTGCATGAATCCGACCACGCTTTAAATGTCAAAATTAATCATTCATATACGGAATCTCTATATTGCCTATAAGATTCTACGTATAAGAATATCCTCCGAACGGTAACCTTAATTCGACAATACGACAATTGGTTAAATTTATCCCGTGTATTTGCCTTTTTAACATAATTGTTTTAAGCAACCGACATTTTAACATAATCCAAATTTTTCAAATACAATCATTGTGGCAAACTTTTGTGAGAGTTAATTATCACTTGGTTAATGTTTCAATGAACAGGGACAAATAATTTGGTAAATTAAAGAATTGCATTCTTCGGTGATGTAGGTAGAAACTTTACAGCTGCATGAATCAGTATTAAAAATCAACACATACTTTATAGATACATGGTTTTGTATATGATACAATAAGAATTTTTATTTATTGACATATGATACAAAGTAAAAAGGCGAGAATTCACTTTTTGCCGCTTTGTGTACTGCACGTTAGAAATGGAGAACTTGCTCTTTTGTTTGGCGAAATTTGATATGGAACGGACTGTATTCCGTAGACGGGCATTGTTTCTGCTACTGTGTGAAGAAAATTAAACATAACTACATAATTACGCAAATTACTGGAGAAACTTGAGCTGTTAGCGTGTTAACTCCGGAAACGTGTTACAGCTTACAGTTTTAACAACGGTTTATTGATAAAATGCATTCCCAAAAATATTTTCTTGATTTTGCAAGCTAAAATCTGTGTTACAATAAAGAATAAAATTGAAATTATTCCTAAAATTTTCAGCGACATATTATAAGAATATAAGATATAAATAAACAATTCAGTAATGACTATAAGAGTGTGTTAAGTGCGGAAGGAGCCGATTGTAGAGCTCCAAACGCCTTAAAATCCAAATAATTTGTTTATTTGTCAATCCCAGCAAATAAACTTATCATATGTATGATACATTAGCGCACGAATATATGCAAATGGTACAAAACCACACGTTTCACTGTAATTATTTTTTATTATTTTTTTTTCAGTATGGAACGGTTCTTACTCTAGTTCTAATAACATTGTGTGCAGGATTTGGCGTAAGCTTTATATTCAAAGATGAGGTAATTAACATTGCATGCTGGGAAAGTCTTTGTCTGCTTAAAAGGTCGTCTGCTGGATTTTTAGCTAACCTGTCACAAAGTGACAGGGTGAGCTTTTGTGATCGCTTTTCGTCCGGTGTCCGTCCGTCGTCCGTCCGTCTTTCGTAAACTTTTACTTTAAATGACATCTCCTCATAAACCACTTGGCCAATTTCATCCAAACTTCACGGGAATGTTCCTTTGGTGGTCACCTTTGAAAATTGTTCAAAGAATTAAATTCCATGGAGAACTCTGGTTGCCATGGCAACCAAAAGAAAAAAACCTTAAATATCTTCTTTTAAAAACCCCAAAGAGCTAGAGCTTAGATATTTGGCATGAAACATCTGCTAGTGAGTGTCTACCAAGTTTGTTCAAATAAAAGCCCTGGGGTCAAAATTGGCCCCGCCCCAGGGGGTCATTGATTTTCCCTTTATACATATAGTTAAACTTAAAAAAATCTTCTTTTAAAGAACCCAAAGAGCTAGAGCTAAGATATTTAGCATGAAAGATCTTCTAATGGGTGTCTACCAAGTTAGTTCAAATAAAAGCCCTGGGGTCAAAATTGGCCCCGCCCCAGGGGGTCATTGATTTTCCTTATATGCATATAGTAAAAACTTTAAAAAAAATTTTAATTTAGATTCCAAAGAGCTAGAGCTAAGATATTTAGCATGAAACATGTTCTAATGGATGTCTACCAAGTTTGTTCAAATAAGAGCCCTGGGGTCAAAATTGACCCCGCCCCAGGGGTCATTGATTTTCCTTATATGTCTTAAACAATTTTCTTTGAAAAAACTCAAATAGCTAGAGTTTAGATATTAAGCACAAAGCATCTTCTAGTGAGTGTCTACAAAGTTTGTTAAAATAAAAGCCCTAGGGTCAAAATTGGCCCCGCCCCGGGGGACATTGATTTTCCTTATATTTTTTTTTATGTGTATAGCAAAAACTTAAAAATCTTCTTTGAAAAAACCTGAATAGCTAGAGTTTAGATATTAAGCATGAAACATTTTCTAGTAAGTGTCTACAAAGATTGTTCAAATAAAAGCCCTGGGGTCAAAACTGGCCCTGCCCCAGGTGTGTCATTGTTTTTAACTATATGTGTAAAGAAAAAACTTGAAAAAAATCTTCTTTTAAAAAACCCAACGAGCTAGACCTTAGATGTTTAGCATGAAACATCTTCTACTGGGTGTCTTCCAAGTTCGTTCAAATAAAAGCCCTGGGGTTTAAACTGGCCCCGCTCTGGGGGCCTATATACAGGTGAGCGACTTCAGGGCCATCATGGCCCTCTTGTTAATTCTATGTATGTTTTACATGAAATTTACACCCCCTCCAAAAAAAAAAAAAAAAAAAAAAAAAAACGTCAAACAGTTTAGGTTCTGAAGAGGTGCTGAAGAAGACGGAATCAAGTGTGGTATGTGTTTGGTTCTTGTTACTGCTTGCAGCAGGTTCACGCTTAATATTATATAATTGTTTTAATCCTACACAATGCAGTGACTGTACCAGTGCTTGGTTCTAGAAAACAGCAAATACACTGGATTTGAATTTCCAGTTATATTTAACTTTCTTCAGCACATATTGTGTACTATTTCAACTTTCAGGACTGCTGTAGTAATTTATTGTAGCATAACTATGAATGTTTAGTGGCACTTTATGACAAACGTCCTTTGTGTTATAATGAACTTCCCTATTTTTGTTTCAGATCACTGATGGTATAAAGAAGAAGTTTGAAACAACTATAATGTTTAATTATGGAAATGATATTCAGAAAAATTCTACAAATAAACTTATAACTGATGCTTGGGACTCAATGCAGTCGTCGGTATGAATTTTAAGTTTTTATGACTTGTACTTATTTGCTTTTTCTAATCTGATTTTTTTCCCTATAGATTTTTAGAACAAAAGCAATTGATATACAGTACAAATGTATATGTATTTAGTGATGGACACACCAAACACTATTGCAAGTTTTAAAATATGTCTCTTCTTAAGGATATGGCTGGCGAGTATAAGCCGACAGTTATTCGTCCCCAACTTCTGTTTTAAATAATACCTGTGGAGAAGTTGGCAGTCACTTGTGGAACAGCAAGGTAATACTGATGCAGAATAAAGGGATAGTTGTTCGGCAACTATCCACCGGTATATGACTGAAATAATGTTAAAATGAACTATAGCAAAACATGATTTGTCATCTAGTATTATCAGCGCTGGTTACAGCATATGTCGTATGTTGTTGAGATAATGCTGTTTGTACTTGTTCTAGTAAAGATGCATTCAAACGTATTGTTTTTCAAGAACCTTACTTAACGATAGATCTAATAGGAATAACATTTATTTTACAAAATTATTTAAAAAAAACATTCTATTTTTTAGCTTGAATGTTGCGGTGCTTATGGTGACGTCAACAGTGATTATTCTTGGGGCTTGTACAAATCACAGAGTATCTGGAAAAAGATCTATAAACCTGATGGTATAAGTAGGTGCATGCTTTAGTTTTTCCTAACACATGTGTGACATCAAAACACGTTTAAATTTTTAAAGCAAGCATTGTTTATCTAAGCTCATTTGTGAAAAAAGCTTGAAGTTTTTTTTACCAAGTTTAAGTCCGCCGTATATTCTGTGCTGGCGTCATATGAATAAAACATTGTGTGATTCCAGAAGTACTCGTTGAGACCAGTAACCTTAACCACTAGGCCACCGGTTTCCTCAATTGTTTGTTTAAATGTAATTAGTTCCTTGACTATTAAATGTAATCGTGTTTTGAGATCATAACCGTAGAAGAATGATTCCTAATAAAGAAGGTTAAATACTTTTGGTGATTGTGCATGTTTTATTTTTAATAACAACGGGAGGTAACTAATAAATAACGGATTTCTTGCAAGGTTTGATTTGTCTCCCTTTTTACATTAAAATTGGTGGTTGGTGCACGAATTTGCACGACATTTTTTAATACATGTATATTCTCCACGGCATGACAACCAAACTTATCTTTCGTTTTACTTTGTTTTACGAAATAACTCTTTCTAGAATGTACTGTATTCTTATTTAACTTATAAATAAATTCCAGGCTATGTAAGTAATTTAATACAAACGTGATTACACCATTACACTGACACGATTAAGATATAATACAACGTTAGAAACACAAAGATACAGTCAATTAGAGTGAAATCTTGTTTATACAAATGTACTTATTTGGTGAAAGTAAAAAAGGATAAATTTGTCATATTTAACGTTTTGAAGAAATTGTGGAAATCCATCACGTTACTTAGCTTGTTTACAGGATAAGATAACTCTATCTGCATGAACTAAACTCATTTATCAAGAGTTAATATAAAGGCTTAAATGTTTAAAAGTTCTTATCACCGAATGTACATAAGTTATAATCTAAAGTTTGAGATAATTTAACGGATTTTACTTGGATATTTATTTTAAATGCTACTTGAACAAACGGTTGGATTAGTAGTGTTGTAATAATAAAATTCAGACTGTTATCAAAAGTTATGGGTATTTTCCACTTGTCTGTAATTTTATACATTGTATGTTTGCCAATCTGGCTTGCTAGTCCTTGTTCTTTCCTGAATGAGGTCAAGTATAATGTGAACCAATGTTTTGTTTTCCCCATTTTTTGTCTCGGACACTTTTTACTGAAAACGTGCTAAAGGTAAACCTTACTCTATGAGTGCATCAATGAAAATATGATGTTCTTTTACTGTAAACAGTTCTTATTTTATGTAGATCTATCTGATAATAAAAAAAAATATTTGTATAGCTTGTTGAATAAATATTATTCCGCCAGAGGGATTTATTTAACTCGTCGTTTAATAAATGCAGTAATGAACCGACACTCCTCTATATCCCGTTTATATTCAATTTGCTTTCAATGTAAAATATTGTTTTATTTTTTCAAACAAGCAATTTCGAACTTTGAACTTTCAGACTTATTAAGCGACTTATAATTTGTTCAGTGCCTCCCGGAATCTGACTGAAATGCTCCAAAATAGAACTGAATATCACAAAACGTTTTCTTTATTTTGGATGCTTATTTTTTAATTTGAAACATGCATATAACAAACAATTTATTCTCGAAAAAATCTGACCATCAATTTACTTATGGACCTGAAGTCTTTGTTTATCTTTCTGCAGTAATTTCAGGTGACTATAGTGCACGAAACATCTTAATTTTATTATACACGTGCACTTTTTATATGTATATCAGTCTCAGACAACCATTTTCACAACTGTTGAGAAAATCAGAAGGGGAGACAATTTACTATATTGTTACACTATAATAGGACTTAATGTAGTGTATGTATACAGTCATGTAAATGTCCAACTTTGATGGAACAGTCCATTTCAAGTTTGAGGAATGTAAACGAAAATACAAAACAGTATAAAGCTTGGTCATACTGCACGGATATGCACGACGGGCTGTCTCAATACTGGCGACAAAGGCTAATCACTTTCTGGTAAAGATCAGATGCGGTATTCCGTAAAAAGGCTACAAATGAAAGATACATATGTTTTCTTTTAAAATTCTAGAATATGTACCAGACAGTTGCTGTAAAGAAGGCGAGGACAAAAATTTATGTCAGGGAAACAATGATAAATATGACGGTCCACCTGTGTATGGACCTCCTAATTCTAAATATAGAACTCATAAAGACAATCCAGCATTGTACACTACAGTAAGTAAAATCTTTATTTGATAACTTTTCTTTGAAAATATGTGAAACTGCAAATTGCAAAGATAAGAAGGATAACTCTAAATGGTAGACCGATAGTTTTAAAACCACTGTTATGTCCCTTGGTTTACCGTTCAAACAGCAAAACTGATAAATAAAATCAAAGCACTGCAAGCACTGAGGTATACATTGCTTGACATCAAGACCATGTGATTTTAATCTACTGAACTCAATAGAAGTCATCTTCTGGTTACAGTCAATTTCGAACACAAATCTAGGCTTATTTCTTCTCAAGTTATTAATAGGACAAGAAAGAGGTGTTGTTCCTACAGACTAGTGCTGTGTTTTCCAGGCAAGACTATATGGTTTTCGAAACTGAAGAGCAATACAGAAATCAGTTTGCAAAGACCGGTTTTTTATCTGCAGTATACAATGCTGAAATAGTAAAATAGAGTCTTCAGTGCTTTTATCTATTACTTTAAAAACAAGACCAACATGCGGGTTTGTAGTCTACACAATTGTGGTATTGTATCATTCAGCAAGACTTAAAAGTTAGGTGAACATTTTTATTTACATGCAAAACACATTCACTGGAAAAAATGCACTCCATAGTGCAATTATTGATTCAAAATAAAAGCATTTGTACTTGACAAAATTTAGGCATTCAAAGCCCTAAGCTCTTGCCTTGTACATTCTTAAATTTTTACTACAAGTACATTACGAAAAATTAATGACCCCCCCCCCCCCACCCAACCCTCCCACAAGGCAAAGTTTATCCCAGGGCTAAAATTAAAACAATCTTGGTAGAGGTCGACTACACAATGTTTCATTCCAAATATCTTACCTCTAGTCTTTGTCAATTCAGGGAGAATACTGTTTAAGTTTTTTTTTCTATACATGTATATACATTTAAGGAAATCCTAAGACACCATGGTGCCTGGTAAACCTTGTACCTTCAGACAAGATTTTTTTAAAGTTTTTTACTTTATACATACCATATAATGAAAACCTAAAAAGACTCCTTGGCAGAGCCATTTTGACCCCAGGGCTATAATTTGAACAATAGTGATAGAGGTTTACTACACAGGTAGAGGTTTCATGCCAAATATCAAACATCTAGCCTTTGTCAATCCAGAGGAGAATATTTTTATGTTTTTTTTCTATACATGATTATACATTTAAGGAAAACCTATGACACCCTGGTGCTATTTCACTAGGGGCAACATTTGAACAACTTTGGTAAAGGACGTACTGATGATATTATTTACCACGTATCTAAGCTCTAAGCCTTAAACCCTCTGATAAAAATATTTTTTAAAAAGGTTTTGCTATATACAAATGTACATATAAGGAAACCCTTAATATATGACCCCAGGAGTGAGGCTAATTCTGACCCTTGGGCTGTAACGTGAATAATCTTGGTAGAGGTTCACTTCCAAATGTTTCATGAAAAATATCTAACATCTAGTCTTTGTCAATTCAGAGGAGAAGATTGAAAATCTATGAACCCTAGTGCAGGGCTAATTTGACCCCCAGGGTATAATGTGAAAATCTTGTGAATGTCTACCAGACAATGCCTTTTGCAAAATATCTATGCTCTAGGCCTCATTTAAGTCTTTGAACAACTTTGGAAGCCCTTTACTCATGGAACAACCCTGTCAAGTTTGGTTGAAATTGGACAAGATGTTTTCAAAAGATGTTAACTATATAATGTATAAAACACACACACATGCACGCATGCATGCAGACACACACGACAGAGGGGAATCGCTATATGCCAACACAGCATCTACATGCATCAGTCCAACACATTTTCAAAAAATAAAATGACAATTACATTGTTGATGTGTTGAAAGCCTTGTGAAATTTAATAAAAGCTTTATAATATGTAGAATAAACTTTCATTTTTTCATTCCAAACTGTAAACAAACAATATGAGGTATGGTACATGTTATGGTCAACCAAGTGGATCTCATTGGAGCTAGGTGGAGAGGAGTGTAGGAATCCAAAGATTAGTAAATCATGTTTGCTTACTGAGTGCATCAGAAAGTATTTAAGCACTAAGTTGAAATTTATATGGCATAGTGCACTTTATGTGTGTTAATATGCTATATATCAAAATTAAATACTCACGACAGTATCTTTTTTTATGTTAACTATAAACTTTAAGAATTAATAAATTTCTTTTATATAATCTATGAATTCAGTTTATAGTATCTTTGTTGGTTTTTACTTTTATCACAGTCTGTGCTTTTTGTGATACCATACCATTGTTTCCGGCACCTTTACTCCAAGTAAGCAAATGAAGTAATTGAAGACCAGGACCTTGAGTGTAGTAACTTCCTGTCTGAGTTGGGGATCTGAACATCACTGTCTGTCCTGTCCACCATGTCTCGATATCGGATTTGTCTTGGTACAGACCACCCTGTCTCATGGTCTGCAAGGTCCTGCATGTATAGCCAGCTGGGACTGTTTAATGTCACCGAGGAGAACTCCATATAGGTTTTTGACAATCAATAAATATTTTACAATCCAATAGGAAAAAAATGATTCATGTAGTATCTTTTTTAGCTAAATCCTTTCAAGCTATCATCATCGTGTACAATAAAACTTACTGGTAAGGAGTTAATTAAGGGTTTCTCCCCCTAATACAAAAAAGGTCAAATTAAGAAGTAGTACTGTTACAATGCCTTATCAAAAATAAAGTTACATATATAGACAATAACTAAATATTAAAAATGTTGATTTAATACAAATAAAACATTAATATATGCAGACCAGCCAATAATGAGCTAAAAATATTTATCAATTTCAAAGAGTGAGAAAATGAAATGCAGCCTGACTAAAACTCAAACCAGAGACACTCAGAACACCATACCTCAGCACTACCAAAAAACCCAGAACCCTTGGAATACCATACAGCAGCTCTACGGCTTAAATATTTTCAGTCTCACTATGCATTGACATAAACCACAGCATATTGAAATTTTTCCGTTTTCATTGGCACACTTAAGTAACAAAGTGAATTGACTTATGATTCAGTAATGTACCATCATAAACATATATATTGGACCCTAAAAGTAACAGGGTGAAAATATCACAGGGTGAGAAAAATGTGCAGTTTGACCGGAATCAAACCTGAATCAGAATATTATACATGTATGTGGGCTGTACTGACTCACTCAGCTGGGCTATCTAGCTGGCAATGTCAATAATCTATTACACATGGGCCTAGAAGTCAAAGAAACATTCATTGATAATGACCCATTATTTAAAGTAAATCATATCAGAAACATCCCTTGAAAATGATATCATTTCATTTTTGACCCACAGTTATTACCATTACCTCCTAATGGGCCTAATTAAACTGAGCCTGCAGAATTTTATAATTTTGCTGTCTGTCAGACATGGCAATTTCATCTTTATTTCCATTTGAAGGGATGTAACTCATGTTTACTAAATAGTTGATGAATATGGATAGAAATATTTTTTTTTGACTGGCTTTATGAACCTTCTAGTTATTGTGGCAAGGAATTTTATAATTATTCAGTTAAACCTGGTTTTTCAGTTAAGATTTCATCATTAAAAGATCTTCAGGACTCTAAATAAATTCATATTTGTGGTATCAGGGGAAATTAAATTACTATTTGTGCTAAATCTGATCATAAACATCAATCTAAATATTTAGAATGTACCTGTGTTGAGTGTCATATTTCACTCTTCACTTTGGTTATCCCAGGTCAACCCTTTTTTTACTAATGGCTTTAATTTAACTGCCCATGCAATCATAAGCTCATATATGGCTAATAATTTTACCTTATATATATCAATAGTCTAAGGAGTTATGGAAAAAATGTTAAGGGTGGCTCAGCCTGACTGAGTGATTTGTTTGTAAATAACATATTTCAAAATATATTTCTAGACTCAACATGCTTTCAAAACTCTTTAAGAAAACTGTCAAATGATGAATATTCATCTGGATTTGTTACTCAAAATCTGTGTGATTCTAGCACTTCATTTTTTCTAGGATTGCAATAGCTTTCGATTTTGTCAAATAATTTTTTCACTTTCAGTTTATGTTCTGTATTTGCCCATGTAAATTGATAACTTTAGGTCCAGCACAGTGTGATAGGATATTTACTTGTATCTTTTCATCTTTCTCAGCATTTCCACTGGCAGTCAACACTGGTAAAGTAAATTTCCATTGGCGCTTCCATTTGATAAAGTTATGTGATATGTTACCATTTTCAACATCTAAATGTCCAGGGGGTCTAAACGTATCTGCCATGATTGTCAGTTCGAATAATACCGATTACGAAGGCTAAATTCGAATTATATTGAGTACAAATCCTTAGTTCGAATAATATTGAGTACGAATCTTCCCTTTCCTGAAAATGGCTTTTGGACTTAACACTTAATACTTCACACTGCAGGTGTGTAACAAATAATTGCATACTCCTCCGATGCCACCACGTTGATAGGGTTGTATTATATGCAATTATATGACAATACGTTTTCAAAACGTAAACTTTAATCCATTCATACAGACGCTTACAATGTTACATAACATTAATAAGACATATATATCTGTATATGCTCGTTTTCTAAAACAGTTTGAAATAGAAAAAGTATGCAAGTCTATATTTAAAAGTAAATAAGGTTTACTTGTTTGATTTAATATTAATTTTGGATGTTGGACATATTTTGTACAGAGTCTGTCGTAATTCATTCATTCTTACACGCGCATGCGTGGATACGAAGTTTGAAGCGTAGGTTTACACAATGCTTTTATGAATGAAATAGAAATTTTCATATTTTTGGCTTTCATGTTTAGAAAATGTTTATTTAAACTGAAAGTGCATAGTTTTGAACTTTCAAAGCTTATTGACCACTATGCAAACAGTTTATTAATAAAAAGTGATCTTAATGTGACAATCCTGCAAAATGAGGATCTACTTTTATCGAGGTTTCATCCAGAGGTGGATGTTGTTCAGCAAAACAGGTTAGGTGTACTAAATCTGAAATACAGCTATAACTCTGTATACATTGCAAGCAATGTATACAATTATACATGGCTAGTTGTTTGTCCGCCTTTCTGTTTGCTTATCTACCTGCCTTCAGAATGACATGGGTATTTCTTTTTCTGTAATCACTCTGTGACTTAAAATATTTTATTTTATTTTACTTTAAAAGTTATTTACTCTAGAACACTTGGGATCCAAGTGAATATTTACTATAAACCCTCCCATTACTCCAGTGTTTTTCTCCGACTCCTGATACTTTAGAAGTGTGGATCTACGAGTTTTGAGACCTTTTAAACGTGGATACACGATCTTTGATACTTTTTAGTTATGGATCTGTGACTGTATATATTGTATACATATGAGATGATACTATTTATATATTTTATATTTATAGGGTTGTTATGATAAAGCGCTTGCATACCTGGAGCAACATTTTCTTATTATAACAATTGTAACGGGCTCTGTGCCTCTCCTTTTGGTAAGTACATTTGGTTACTTTTGTACCATTTAAAATACCCACTTTCACGTTGACTTGCCCTCTACAAATATTCATCTTGCTAACCCCAAAATTAATATTGATCGGTTCCAAAAATGAAAACAGTTCATGTTTACTTACGAAATTTAGCAGGCTAAGGGTTACTGTAGATATTAAAGCTGTTCAAACGATTTGTCCGTCCGTCCGCGGGTCCATCTTGTGTTTAAAAGTACATTTCCTCTGAAGTAACAGTTATAACTTCAAATATTATTACACTAGACTCTCTCGATATTAGTACTCTCTTAGACTCTTGGGGTCATTCATTCAATAGGCATACTTATATTTTCGTAATAAAAATTGTTCCATCCTTTAAGATTTCAGTTTGAGCAACGAAAGTGATTGTGTAAATACCTTTAACTATATGTGAAATTATATAATTTACTATTCATTTTTAGCTCATTGGCATCGTAATTGCCTTCTACCTGTGTGCCAACGTTCGTGATACCGACGATGATGATGATTTTGACTATGAAGTTGAAGTTTAACATACAGCAGACTATATTCTGTCACATTCCGTCCAGTGCCGGACAATACGAGCCAAACAATTCCACTGAATGTTACTTCTTAGGATGGAGAATGATATGACAATATGAACTGTTTATTCAGCATTTTATAAGAAACGGCTTTAACATAGATGAGGTAATTGTTTGCATTAATCTACGGTCAGTGACGGACTCGCCTGTAAAACAGAAGGTCATTTTGCATTTTATTATGCAAGATTAATTAATATCGCTTGCCTTAAACAATTACACTATGCAAGCTGATGAAAGAACAATTTATAGAACGAACTTTCGTGCATACTTTGAATAACAATATCACGTATTTGCTCTAGATTTGTGTTGCCTCAAGTCAGTTTTATTTGTTATTAACAAGAAAAATGTTTGTCTTCCGCATACAGTTATTTATGTTCTCCGCATACAGTCATGTATGTTCTCAAAAATTCTATGTAAGTGAATTACTTTCATATATCAAACGTTACATTATTTTCAAGTTGTATTAAAGTATGTGCTATTTATAGAGAAAAGGTAATTTTGTGCAAGTGATATTATAAGTGATCACATCAATCACATGTTATACGGTTATAACATACGGAAAAGTTATAACATACGGAAAAGTTATAACATACAGAAAAGTTATAACATACAGAAAAGTTATAACATACAGAAAAGGAATAACGTAAAGAAAATGATACGGATTAATAGTGTAACATAACACAAAAATGTACAGAGAATTACAAAGAGAAAATATTCAGAAAAGGTGTTATATGATGAAAGTGTTATATGGAATGTGTTGTATAACGAGAAAAAGTGTTACGTACAGTATGTTATACGGAAAATGTTAGATAGGGGAAATGATACGAGGATCCAGCATGAATACCCGGTAATGGATATATACGTGTACAATATATAGCAAATGTTTTACCGACTAAATATGTTATATATGGAGCATATTTTACAATGTGCCGAATGTTACATGTTTAGTTTGTAACATAATACTTGTGTTACATATTATATTATGTTACATAGAGAAATATGTTATACGGAACAAGCTTATCTTAGAGCAAATGTGTTCATGTGATATAAATTGTTACTGGAACTATGTGTGCAGTTATAATGTAATGAAAAAAAAAAGAATAAAAGAATTTATTTTGAAAGTTTTACAACAAATGAAAATAAGGAAATTTTGGATACCATATTCTAGTCGGATATAAGTTGTGTTCATTTTCATTTTGTTCAAAGTAAACTGCCTCTTGTCTGTTTATAATGATAGATACATGTGTTCAATATATATGATCTGAATGGATATATGTGTTCGGTATATGTGTGTTCGGTACGTATGACCTGATTGGATATATCAGTTAAGTATGTATGATTCTATTGGATACATGTGTTCGGAATGTGTAATTTGATTGGATATATATGTTTACTTTGCATGATTTGATTGGATATATGTGATGTGTATGTCAGACGTGATTGGATATATGTTAGGAGGTATGATCTAATTACATACATGTGTTTACTATGTATAATCTGATTGGATAAATGTGTTCATTATGTTTGTTTGTTTTAATATATCTGGTGTGATTTGATTTATATGTTTACTTTGTAAGATATGATTTGACATATATTAATTTAGCTTGCGAATCTCAAATTAATTATTTATATATAAACCTTGGAGTTCATAATAATACTATTTTAGCGATATTTTCATTTCTTAGTAACTATGTTCATTAACAGGAATGCCAATAAATTACGTAACTTATGTTTCTAAGGGTTTAAAATGGTTATAGTGTAAGAGCACTGTAGGTAAATTTGATACCAAAATCCTCGTAAACGTTTTCATGTCCTGGTTATCAAGAACTCGGGGGGGGGGGGGGGGGCAATATGTAGAATGATTTTATATCAATTTTCCTTTGGATGCATTTCAAAAGATATGACTATATTGTGTTGGAACAAATTTTCCCTCTTATGATATCTTTGGACTGCAAAATTATTATTTATATCATGGTTGATATAGCTACAGAAAACGTAAAATAACAGAAATTTGTCGGTATTTTTTGTTACAAATGAGTGGAACATGCGTCAAATAATCACTAAACCATCTAGAAATAGAAGTGTAATATTTTTTGTTCGGGAATGTTTTATTCTTAGTTTCGTACAACATCCATGTTCGTTAAATAACAGAGACATTTTCTGTTACAACTCTTTCTAGAAGTTACTATAAGGAAATTACTATAAGGTTATGAAAACAAAGTTAATTTGCTGTTTTTAAATTTTAATAATTTTTTTCATTAGATATAAACCCTTTAAAGTTTCTGAATTCGGGAAATTTTAAGTTTAATAACTATGTTTTTGTGTATACAAAATACTGTTTGACTGTTTGTTTAACATGATTTTTTTCATATGTGTGCGCATATTAATTTTGATTACATGTTGTTTTGTTAAGAAAGTATACTTTTTTGATTTGCTAAAGTATATATTCTGTTATGTTTTGAGAACGTTGCTAATAATTGTAAATATTATCTGATATAAATATAGACTGTAAACCCATGCACAGAAACGCTTTTAAATTGCAGCATGGGCGAATTGAAAAATACGTGTATAACGCTATAATCAAGTTTACAAAATGTCGTTTACTTTAGATAGCATCACCTGATATAAGTATGAGGAAGGGATTCTGAAGGTCAAAAATTTGGGCGATGTATTACTTGTTTTACAGACCGTTCTTATTAAATAATCATAGTTTTACCAGTTAGAATTGAGCGCATAGTTTATATTTGCACTTTTTATTCTGGGACCAATCTTAGATATTTAAATAATGTCTGTTTTTTATTAAAGTTCGTTTGGTGGTCCAATCTACATGTATATAATGTATTGTTATTGAAAACTACTCTGTTTTTACCATGTTTAATCATGTATCCATATTTTTTATGAAATATACAAATATAAGGGAAGTTACTGTGTATGTCTTTAATTTTTATCTAAATTGTGTTATTGTTCTTTTACAGTACATTATGGTTTAGTTAACGTAGATTTTGCACGTTTTCCATTTACTGCCTATATTTGTGTAGTATTGATTATAATATTACAGGTAAAACGTCGTGTGATGGTCGATAGTACTGTAGCCAAGTTAGCTTGAACTATGTATAGACGTGTATAGAAAATCGCTCTGTTGAACATAATTCAATATGTTGAATGAAATAGAATATGAGTCCTCTATCAATAACGAATTAGTGTAGACTTAATTTACATATATATATATATATAACGTATTAGACGTTGAGACTGAATTATTCGACTTCATTAGTCATATAAACATATATAAGTCGGAACAATCTTGCCATTTTTAAACCACATGTGTATCTGTATGTTTCAATGTAATAGTAATATTTTGTTTCTGCAACCCCATGTCAATAGCTCGGGGGCACATATTGTTTTTGGTCTGTCTTTTAAGTTTATCTGTCACAAAACTTGATCTCACCATCCCTGTTGCCTTCAAACTTGATAGGTACAGGTACCTTGATGAGTTCTGCCTGTCAGATCCACTAAGTTAAAAGTCAAGGTCACCAAGATCAACCCCCAATCCCCTTGGGGAATGATAAAAAAAAATCCCCGTTTGGTCGGATAAAACATTTTATGAAATAACATCATTAATTATCAATATAAACAAGTAATATATGGACAGTGTTATATAAAATAATGAAGTGATTATGTTACTTATATCCTTACAATGATTTAAATCAACTTATTTGGTTTCCTGTACACTGAATACTCTTCAATTGAGCGTCTATTGTCAGTGGGCATTCTTATTCTGATAATCCATTAACTGTCCGAAATTGAATTTCCGTAACGAAGACATTAGACGGGAACTATCTCGGCTAACATCTATTCAATCAAGTATTTCCGACAAATCTACGGTCCCAAAGGACCATTCCATCGACTAAATTCTTTTCTCATCACTGCAACATGAAAATGGTGTGGACCATGGCTAGTGTTATTTGCATTTGTTTAATCCATATTTAGGGGAGAATGTTGTTTAAATGTAGAAGTCTTATTTCTGCATTATTGATGATTGGATATACTTATTATTTTCTAACTATGACTTGACGAACTAATGTTTCTCTTAGATCAAGTCACTGTTTACAAAATTGTTGTTTCACTCATGTAGTAAAAATTCCACTTAATTATTTACTTTAAAATGGAAAGAAATTTTTATGCAAAATGTTTATTATTGTAAATTACCCTCCACTATACATTCTCTCTACCATACCCTCCACCTTACATTACCTCTATCTAATCTTTCACCATGAATTCACTCTACTTTACAAATTCCACAATACTTTCTCTCTACCCTATCCACCACTACTACATTATCCTTCACAATACATTCTCTGTACATTACCTTCAAACCTACATTCTTTTTACCTTACCCTCCACCATACATTCTCTTTATCTTACCCTCCACCATACATTCTCTTTACCTTACCCTCCACCATACATTCTTTACCTTACCCTCCATCATACATTCTTTACCTTTTCCTCCACCAAACATTATTTACGTTTTCCTCCAACATACATTCATTACCTTACCCTCCTCCATGTATTCTGGACCTTACCCTCCACCATACATTCTTTACCTTACCATCCATCATACATTCTTTACCTTACCCTTCACCATACATTCTTTACATACATTTTTTACTTTAACTTATCCTCTATCCTACATTCTCTACCTAACCCTCCGCCATACATTCTTTACCTTACCCTCCACCATACATTCTCTTCACCTTACCCTCCATCATTCATTCTCTTCACCTTACCCTCTATCATTCATTCTCTTCACCTTACCCTCCATCATTCATTCTTTACCTACCCTCCACAAAACATTATTTACCTTACGCTTCACCATACATTCTTTACCTTACACTCCACCATGTATTCTTTACCTTACCCTCTATCATACATTCTCTACCTTACCCTCCACTATACATTCTTTACTTTACCCTCCACCATACATTCTTTACCTTACCCTCCATCATACATTCTTTACCTTACCCTCCACCATACATTCTTTACCTTACCCTCCACCATACATTCTTTACCTTACCCCCACCATGTATTCTGGACCTTACCCTCCACAAAACATTCTTTACCTTACCCTCTATCATACATTATCTACCTTACCCTCCACCATGTATTCTTTACCTTACCCACCCACCATACATTCTTTACCTTACCCTCCACCATACATTCTTTACCTTACCCTCTATCATACATTCTTTACCTTACCTCCACCATACATTCTTTACCTTACCCTCCACTATACATTCTTTACCTTACCCTCCACCATAAATTCTTTACCTTACCCTCCACCATACATTCTTTACCTTACCCTCCATCATTCATTCTTTACCTTACCCTCCCACCATGTATTCTGGACCTTACCCTCCACAAAACATTCTTTACCTTACCCTCCATCATACATTCTCTACCTTACCCTCCACTATACATTCTTTACCTTACCCTCCACCATACATTCTTTACCTTACACTCCACCATACATTCTTTACCTTACCCTCCATCATGCATTCTCTACCTTACCCTCCACTATACATTCTTTACATTACCCTCCACTATACATTCTTTACCTTACCCTCCACCATACATTCTTTACCTTACCCTCCATCATTCATTCTTTACCTTACCCTCCACCATGTATTCTGGACCTTACCCTCCACAAAACATTCTTTACCTTACCCTCTATCATACATTCTCTACCTTACCCTCCACTATACATTCTTTACCTTACCCTCCACCATACATTCTTTACCTTACCCTCCATCATACATTCTCTACCTTACCCTCCACTATACATTCTTTACCTTACCCTCCACCATACATTCTTTACCTTACCTCTATCATACATTCTCTACCTTACCCTCCACTATGCATTCTTTACCTTACCCTCCAACATACATTCTTTACCTTACCCCCACCATACATTCTTTACCTTACCCTCCATCATTCATTCTTTACCTTACCCTCCACCATACATTCTTTACATAACCTTCCATCATACATTCTTTACTTTACCCTCCATCATACATTCTTTACCTAACCCACCACCATGCATTCTTTACCTTACCCTCCACCATACATTCTTTACCTTACACTCCACCATACATTCTTTACCTTACCCTCCATCATACATTCTCTACCTTACCCTCCACTATACATTTCTTTACCTTACCCTCCATCATTCATTCTTTACCTTACCCTCCACCATGTATTCTGGACCTTACTCTCCACAAAACATTCTCTACCTTACCCTCCACCATACATTCTTTACCTTACCCTCTATCATACATTCTCTACCTTACCCTCCACCATATATTCTTTTCCTTACCCTACATCATACATTCTTTACCTTACATTCTATCATACATTCTCTACCTTACCTTGCACCATACATTTTTTACCTTACCCTCCACCATGCATTCTTTACTTTACCTACCACCATGCATTCTTTACTTTACCCTCCACTATGCATGTTTACCTTACCCTCCACCATGCATTCTTTACTTTACCCTCCACCATGCATGTTTACCTTACCCTTCAACAATACATTCTTTACTTTACCCTCAACCATGCATTACTTACCTTACCCTCCACCATACATTATCTCTAGGAGCGTCCGTGGCCGAGTGGTTAAGGTCGTTGACTTCAAACCACTTGCCCCACACTGCTGTGGGTTCCAACCCCGACAGGGACTTTGGATTATTTTATGTGAGGAAGCTATCCAGCTAGCTTACGGAACGTCGGTGATTCTACTCAGGTGCCCGTTTGTGCCTGAAATAATGCACGGAAGGGCACTTGAGGTCTTCCTTCACCAGTAAAGCTGGAACGTCGCCAAATGACCTATACTGTTTCGGTGTGACTTAAAACCCAATCAAACAAATAAACAAACATTATCTCTAAACAAACCTACCACTATGCATTCTTTACTTTACCATCCGCCATTCATTATTTACCTTACCCTCCACCATGCATTCTGTCTACCTTACCCTCGACCATACAATCTTTACCTAACCCTCTACCATACATTCTTTACCTTACCCCCACTATGCATTCTCTCTTCCTTATCCCCCACCATACATTCTTTACCTTACCCTCGATCATACATTCTTTACCTTACCCTCCACATGCATTCTTTATCTTACCCCCACTATGCATTCTCTCTTCCTTATCCCCCACCATACATTCTTTACCTTACCCACCACCATACATTCTTTACCTTATCCCCCCATATGCAGTCTCTCTTTCTTACCCCCACCATACATTCATTACCTTACCCCCACTATGCAGTCTCTCTTCCTTACCCCACCATACATTCTTTACCTTACCCTCCACCATACATTCTTTATCTTACCCCCACTTTGCAAAAGACACATTATTCAGCCATTCTCCATTCACTTTCCCTCATTTTACTCTAAACATTCAACCTAGAACCTTCTTCCATCCTAATAAAATGTCTTACGCAACCTCAGCCATTCATTCAAATTTCCTCGACACAGACGTACCTTTCCAACTTCAAACGCGTAGACGCCTTCTCAGCTCTACTGCAATAATACCTCAAATTTGCGCATTCCCATCTCTCCTACCATATGCCTTCAACGCGTACACGCATGCGCCATCCAATCTCTTCAATCACACGCCCTTAAAGCGAATGCAACTTCGAGAATCCCCAGTCACACGCCCTAAGCCCATCATTCCCCATAATAAATTATAGATCTAATTATTGCCAATCATGATAGACTGGTGGAATACGCGCCTTTCAATCTCTCCAACCGTCACACGCCCTCAGCCCCTTACAAACTCTCTAGGCACACAGCCACAGTCCCTCACTCCTCTCTACGCTTTCCAAACTCTCAAGTCACACGGCATTAGTCCTTCACTCAACTTAGCGCCCACGCGCCTTCCACATGTCACGGTTCAGAACTGTTCCCTATTTAGGGGAGATGATGTGTAAGCGGCCGGATAGCTCAGTCGGTAGCCGCGGAACGGTATTCCGAGGGTCCCGGGTTCGAGTCCCGGTCAGGCTGCACATTTTTCTCACCCTGTATCATTTGGCGCCCAGCGGGGGACTCGAACCCGGGACCCTCGGAATACCGTTCCGCGGCTCTACCGACTGAGCTATCTGGCCGCTTACACATCATCTCCCCTAAATAGTGAACAGTTCTGAACCGTGACACACACACCCTTAGTCCCTCACTCCCTTCAGCGTACAGGAACCATGCTAACTTTCCATGTATAATTGACAATTTGCGGAAAAAAAGACATTCATAAGTCAGTCTATATGAAGAACGATGATTAATGTTTACTCAAAGAGTTTGAAATCTAGAATTAGTCTAGTAAAAAATAATGACTTTCGATCGACATCTCTTCGACTGCAATTGAAATACTGTATTCATTTTATAGCTGATTCAGTTTCACAAATATGGTACGGAAAAATGGTTTTATTATAATCGCGTAAAACAATCAATATTCAATTTAATGAACCTGGTAATATTGGCATGAAACATCGATTTTACCAGCTAAAAATGACACATGTCTGCTTTCACATAATCAAGGTATTCATTCAAAAATATATACTTTTAGCTTGAAAAAAACCCAGGCATGTCTGCCATTCTGGTATTAGTTTAAAATAGGAGCTCTATTGTTGAAATATCTCAAATATTTGTCATGTTTAATTACAATCGACTAAATTTAGAACATAATGAAATAAACACGAATCTTCCATTATCATCAAAAGTTTGCTTGTAAAAGAGATATTGTTATTTGGTATCTGGCGAGAATTCGTGTTAAATTCACACTTGGTTTCTCGGAGAGTTTCGTGTGCTCGCATTAGGATACAGTTATTTAATCATACAGCCAGTGTTATATTGAAAAATCATTTTAGTGAGCATATATGACAAGAAAATAATCTGAAATAAAAATGAAGCGATATTACACGGTGTTGCCTTGGAAACAATTGATTAGCAAAACGGTTCACATGTATGGTTTTCAATGTTAGAAAATACAGCCACCAGTATGCATACTATACAAATGTACACACGTATATTCAGTATTTATGTACTGAAATGTGTCAGTTAAAAGGAGTATGTACATATAGTAGCTAGAAATATCTATATTGCCAAACAAAGGTTAGGATTTTAATGTAGCAAAATACATACATAACCTTAGTTCGCCTACAAGCACTCTTTGTATATTTACCGTCTCTGAAATTATATTTAACACTTACCACAGTGATCATGCAATTCTTTATATGATCATTCGCTCTAGCATGTACATAAGTTACAGTTCTTTACGAAAATAAAGTTAAACTGCTTGACAGCTTGCACAGGAACGATGCGGTGGCTGAACTGTGCTCTGGCAAATTCAGTGTGGCTTACTGCAGTGATCCGAAGTGAAAACTACCAATACCACCACCATCTAACATAAAACGTTACAAGTGCATCATTACAAACTAAGGAGGTTACATTTACACCCATATCAAGGATTTTCTATCTCTTAATTAGAACCTAACAATTAAACCATTATGAAGGGCAATCTAACTCTGCATTACATCATGATCATTTTAAGGGCTTCATTTCTCTGAAATAAGACATTACAATTACATCGTTATCAAAGGATACCTTAAACATTACAATTACATCGTTATCAAAGGTTACCTTAAACATTACAATTACATCGTTATCAAAGGTTACCTTAAGCATTACAATTACATCGTTATCAAAGGTTACCTTAAACATTACAAATACATCGTTATCAAAGGTTACCTTAAACATTACAAATACATCGTTATCAAAGGTTACCTTAAACATTACAAATACATCGTTATCAAAGGTTACCTTAAACATTACAATTACATCGTTATCAAAGGTTACCTTAAACATTACAATTACATCGTTATCAAAGATTACCTTAAACATTACAAATACATCGTTATCAAAGGTTACCTTAAACATTACAATTACATCGTTATCAAAGGTTATCTTAAACATGACATATACATCGTTATCAAAGGTTTCCTTAAACATTACAAATACATCGTTATCAAAGGTTACCTTAAACATTATAAATACATCGTTATCAAAAGTTACGTACCTCTGAAATATAAAACATTACAATTACATCGTTTTATCAAGGTCTACATATCCGCAATGTAGGCCATTACAACTACAGCATTATCAAGAAGAAATAAAAGATTACAAGTACATTACATTCAAGGGCTAACTTAAGTTGTTGTTTTTTTCCAAATATTTAAAGTTAAATGATAAACGTTCCTATGACACATGTAAATGCACAAGTGGTTTGTTTATCAAGTCGGCAAAAATGAAAGTCCTGGAATGTAATAAACAATGGACGTTTGCCGCCTGAGCTGGAAGTAATAAGACTTGAACGTTGACGTCAATTGTAGATGGCAGGTTAACAAACGTTCCCTGTGTGTTTGTAAAGTAGTGATTTTTGCTTGTTTATAGAGACAGTATAATGACCCCTTTAACGAGAGAGGAAAAGTGGCTAATTACGGTGAAATATTACCGTGTGAATGGAGATTTATTGAAAATTACTTAAGAGAAAAACAACGAAATCCTGAAAATTTTATACTGAGAAAAAACCCGCACTACATTTACTTAAATTAACGGAACAGAAGTTTTTAACGGCGTATCAACTGACCAAACATTGACAGTAATGTAAAACTTTAAAACATTGACGTCACGAAATTAGGTCAGGCCCGCACAAACAAACCTATTACAACTGTGTTTCTACTGATAAAATAAGCTTAATGCGGGTAATATCTTCAGTTTGTGACAATGTTAAAGTTCACCTCTCAGCATGTAAAGTTCAATACAGGATAAGGTATGTACAATAACAAACTTTACAATAAAGTTTCTATGATATCGTATAAAAGTTAATTTACTGACAGTTTAATATTCTTGACAATAGCTCGACATTTGGCAACAAGAAATTAAATGTGTTGCTATGTTAAATGTCAAGATAATTTTAAGAGCTAGTAAATCAAGATTAATTTGTTTAACATTTATGTATCTTCTTCTCTTATATTTACAGCTTGCAATTAGTTATTACGTCTTCTTGCGGCCTTGTGGCAGATCTACCAGTATTCAAGCTGACATTTAAAAAAAGAATCCAAATTCAAATAAATTATTTATGCTCAACTATGAGAAATTTCTTCCAACTTTAATGAATCTCTTACGCTATCGATTCCAATTCCTTTAACAGACTAGTGTCTTTCAAGCACCATTCTATCTGAAAGACTCTGACAAACCGGTACTGGTGTCATGTGGGGAAAATAGGGCCATTACACGATTAGTGCTTTGTACTACGACCCCTTGTCTGAGAGACAGACACCCTAACTTTTGCTCTCTGGCCTTCATTGACATAATTGCAGTAATGGTCGAGACCAGGTTGCAGTTTTCTTAGTGATACATAAACAGATGTGTTTATATGTTGTTTCTTTAATAATTTTGTTTACATTGTTTAGCACGTGCGTTTTCTACTTGAGATACCGAATTAAAACATTTTGGTCAATTCAGATTTCCCTTGATAACTGCACTTGATTTACATTATGCAAGCTGGTGATAAAATATGTATATAATTATAAAACTACATTTTTTACATGATATATAAACAACATAACAAATTTCTACCACATCCGTTCATTTTATTCAGTTAAAATCAACGAAAAGTAAAACATACAAGTACATTTATTGACATATAATTGTACAGTTGTAAACAAAATTAGAATAAAATTATTTTAAACATAAAACAAACAAACAAATTTATAACCATAGCAACGAGCGGTATAAAGTCTAGAGTCAGACAATTAATTAAAACAGTTAAAGACTATTTTCACAACGCATTAATTCAGTGAAAATTAAATAAATGCACACATGTATATATATATACATGTGCACGTATCAAAGACGCTACGAACGTCGAGTTAAGAAAGTCCTTTCTTGACAAAAATAAGACCCCTGAAATGGGATAGTGAAACATTTATATTGCAGCAATATTTAAACAATAACTAATGACACACCCAGCTTTTGCAATGTATTACAAAGACAAATTTTCTTGTAAGAACGTTAAAATCTTCAGACATAAAACATTTTATGAGATGGAAAAACGAGACTAAACTAAAAGCGGTTTAAACACTTTCTTTCAATCACTAGTAATTACTCTAAGGAAAACGTTATGCCACAATATATTACCATCTCAATTTTCTATTTTGTATCTGCCTCGTGTTAAGGATCCCCCTGGGTTATCATTTTGCACTTTGATAGGAGAAATCCTCCAGCTATTACTTCTGTTTTAGTATGTTAACTTACTCCAAAACACAAGTTCCTGAAAACTTTCTCCGGATATTGGACTACCATGTATAAATATCGAATAACTTCAGCCATATAATGTGTTATCACAATATTTTCATTTTCTCTCGCTATAATAAACGTATACATACGATTCACAGTGACAAAATTGTAGAACTTATTTGTAGATTTTTATTTGTAGATTTATTGTTTAAGTGTTAAAGAAACGTCTTGAACTATTCAGGTTCTTGTTAATTTGAAAGTTTCATATAGAATTTAAAATGTCTACAACTGGTAATATTTCTTTTTTCACAACCTGAACGAGTTTGTATATGTTATTTCTTACATGAAATGATTTCTCGAAAAACCATTTACCTAATATACCAGGCCTTGTTATTTACAACCTATATATGGATTAAACATCAATTTTTAAATAATTTTGAGTCATTTTAAAACGTCTAAGGGGGGGGGGCAAATTCTTATATCTGGGAAGAATATTCATCAAAAAGTACCTAACGGCCAGATCATGTTGTCTTTGTATTTAACAATAACTGTACAAAAATATTTCATCGGTACACAACCGTTTTTTATCTGTTAATCTTAGATAAGATATCAGAACAATTTAAATGTTAATGGTGATTTAATAGTAAATAATACTAAATAATACATTGCAAACAGTGTCCATATCAGAACAATATAATTCTATATTTGCCATTGTTATATCCGACTGTATACATTCCTTTAGAATATTTGTTTAACTAGTTAAAGGGCTTCTTACTGATATCTTACTACAATGCTGTCAAAGTCATTTATACAAGAAATAAAATAAACTTATCGGCTATACTGTAAATAAAAAAAGATACAATTACACACCCTATACAAAACAACTGCTTGTTGATTTAAAGTTTTTAACTATGAACGTATATACAGGAATGATTTGTATGATTAAAGTAAAATAATTAAAATTGTTCACAATTGCTGCTTTATAACGTACTTGGTATGTCAAACATTGTGTGTGACAATACAAAATCAATTAGGCAAACACACACAATTTCTTGGTTAAATACAAGTAAATTCATAGCAAACAAGAGATTGAAAATAAATGGAATAAAATAACATAGTTGTAAAACTAGCCTATATTAATAACTGGTTAAATAAGGCTATAAGTTTTTTAATAATACAATATTCCAAGGGTCATAGTAATAAAGTTCCCTTCAGAAATCAAGTTTTTTTGGTAAGCACACTAAACAAAGTGTTTCTATCTACCTATTCACAAAGTAAGGAACAGCAAAGCATGCGTTCTGTATAACACAACACACACGGATATATGACGTCATGAATGAAAACCAAGTGCTTTGAGCTAAATAAAATATACACCGTCAAAAATGAGTGAATGAAATGTACTTTAAGTCTCTTCAAAAATGCAGAGACAATGTCTACATATCCTCACGTGATTCTATTGTTCTGTGAAAAAAGCACGATAAAAAAAACAACTTGTGCACTGTATACTTTCTTGTCTGCAGACTGATTTATTTGGTTGTGAGCAAAGTTTTTGCATCATTTATTCCACAAGGCGTTATTTTTCAGATTTGCTTATATACAAACCACTTGATACACAAATGGCTTCACGTCTTGACATAATATAAAGCGCGAACGTCTTTTTATATCACGTCAACATAATCTTACCGTGTAAAGCACTGACGTCACGTAGTAGATAATGGCGTCATACTGGTCAGTAACTGGAATGCATCAGAGTGAGGTCACGCACACATAGTATTGTGACAACACAAATTCATAGATTTCTGTAAATTCCATAAAAACACATAAGTTTGTTTATAAACAAGAACTATATCCAGTAGCGCGTTTGTCAATCGCGCACGTGTTCCTCCTATGATTTCCACACTAGTTTTTTTGTTAATGATATGCGACTAATTATTTGCAAACTGTGCTAGCAGTTGGTCACATGTGTTTTAAGAGTTATCACAGAGGACGGAAAGATCTCATTGGTTAACTGAATGCTATACGTCATCCTCGTCATAGATTTCGTCCTTACGCACGCGCGCACACATACAAAACACTATCACTATTCCTATTATCTGAAAAGAAATAAAAAAAATTATAGTCAGTATACAAATTATAATATCATTTGACATTTAAATTTAAGAAAGTTCCATTTAAAGATAAGTATTACTTTAAGAGTCATTAATGCTTACCTGAAACACTAAATTGACAACTTTGGCGACAAAAAAATGAATAAGTGTGACATAGACACGATGCCTACAAGAAGACATGACTCTACTTAAATTAAAACAGAAGTTAACTTTCATAGTTTTGAACTTTGACTTTGTTATATTTGATCACGTTTTAAATACATTCATTGTTACAAACTCACCAGAAGTAAAGGAACGAACGCTGCGACACCACCAAGAATTAACGCATTTCTCTCCAGATGCACCATGACCTTTTCATAACAACCTTCTGTATATAAATGCTCATTTTTCGCATATGAAGAATAAACTGGCGGACCTTTAGATGGTGGACCATTTATCGTCTGCACTCCAGTACAGATTTGTTTGTCCCCTGAACAGCACGAATCCGGTACATACGGCGACCCTGAAACAACATAAAGGTTTTTACATGAGTGGGGGGATTTTTAAAGTTTTTCGCAAACACACACACACACACACACTTTTTGACGAACCCTCAAAAGGTCAGTTAGTGCATACATTATTGGCGGGAAATACAAGCAGGGAAAGTTTCTTAGAAAACTTGGTCATATTGATAAGGCCTTATTGAATATTGAACTTAATATTATAGGTGTATAACTTAATTATAAATGATGTAGTGAAAACTTCTAATTTACACTTAAGTAATAAGTAATGGCTATTTTTTTACAAATTCGACAACAAAAATGATCGAAATGATTTAATTTAAAAACAAACGTAAATTTTTTTATCGTATGGAAGATTGACAATTTCGACTGGAGCTGATTTTAGTGTATTTTAATGACATAAGCGGTAGCTGAATGCGACACGACTAGAACAATGGGTTACAATGTTCATGGGAAGAACTATAGGGGAGAAGACAATCCAAGAACGTCATGTCACACGTTTATTCCTGGAACAAATGCTGTGTTATATATATATATATATATATATGTTAGTAAAGAAAACAAAGAACAAGGGCAAAGTTTAAAAAAACCACACACACACAAGTTATTCGTGACATGTTTTTGCAAGGTGTAGGAATACTCATAGAAACATTCCTAGCCATAAATTATAAAGGCGGGCAAAGGGGTATACCCGACTTTAGAAAGATACATTTAGATACAAAAAGGCATATAGAACCACCAGATCCACAACGTGGTATGTCCGGCTAGAAAGCTACATTTAGGAACAAAAAAGCAAATGGATATCCTAGATAGACAAGCAGCTAAAAAGACAGGAAAAGAGATATGATAGACCGGAACAAATGTACCCAGGTTATTTGCCTCAGTAGGATGGAGTAAGGTTTGATAAAGTGTTATATCTCATTAGAAAGGTGAAAATGCACAAACAGGACGAAGACATAGTCTGACATGAATGAATAAGGTAAGCCGAACAATATGTCCATGAAACAAAAAGGTAAAATCACAAAAATAGGTATAAAACGGCAAAATGATACTCTCTAAAGTGATATGGGTAAAGACAGGTAAAGAGGTATGTTCAACTTCAAAATTAAGATGAATGTGCGAAAAGTGGGAAAATGTCTACCGGATATCTGAAAAAAAATCAAGGGATAAGTCCGACCAGAAAATATACTTAAATGATCGGGCTTTTATATTCAATTATAACGATAACTATTATAAATGACGTGCCGACCATGAAAAAAAACATAGTTCAAATATCAATACAAGATGTAAAGTAAACTTACTGTTGTTTGTTAGTAGGTACCAGTCTGAATGCTGTCTGTAGAATGACCAGGAATGTGAGGAATTTATATCACCATAGGCTCCACAACATTGTAACTGTAAAATAATGGTAAAATACAGAGGTAGCTAAAATATCTACAATATTTATCTTCTATTCTTTGTACATGAACTAAAATGTACATATGTATTTGTTATCCATTGCACGTGGACCTTAAAACTTGATGTCTTATAGGTACATGCACTTACTACATTTGTTGTCCTTGGCAGATGACTCAAAGACTCAAAGTTTTTTATCATTGGTACGTGGACTGAAAGACATTTGATAACCTTGGCACGTAGCCTTTAAGACATTTGATATCTTTGGCACGTAGCCTTTAAGACATTTGATAACCTTGGCACGTAGCCTTTAAGACATTTGATATCCTTGGCACGTAGCCTTTAAGACATTTGATATCTTTGGCACGTAGCCTTTAAGACATTTGATATCTTTGGCACGTAGCCTTTAAGACATTTGATATCTTTGGCACGTAGCCTTTAAGACATTTGATATCTTTGGCACGTAGCCTTTAAATTTAAGACATTAGATATCCTTGGTGCGTTAACTTTAAGAGACCTTTGATATCTTTGGTACATGAACGCTCACGTTTGATATCCTTGGTACATGAACGCTCACGTTTGATATCCTTGGTACATGAACGCTAACGTTTGTTATCATTGGTACATGAACGCTGACGTTTGTTATCATTGGTACATGAACCTAGACGTGTGTTAACATTGGTACATGAACGCTGACGTTTGTTATCATTGGTACATGAACGCTGACGTTTGTTAACCTTGGTACATGAACCTAGACGTGTGTTAACATTGGTACATGAACGCTAACGTTTGTTATCATTGGTACATGAACGCTGACGTTTGTTAACCTTGGTACATGAACCTAGACGTGTGTTAACCTTGGCATGTAGACTCAGAGGTTTGTTATTTTTGGTACGTGGGCCTAAGGACATTTGTTATCCTTTGTACATAAACTTTTTATAAAGAGTACGGCTGATATATATATGCATATCATTATGTACCTATTATTTGACTGTAACAAAAGATTTGGTATTACATGAACCAGTCTCTAGTCAACTTACTGGAACTAACCAGTACTTGTTTAGTGCCAAATGAAACAAACATGGTCGAGGCAACAATATGGCTAGAAACCATGAAGTTTGGCTGAGAGGCAGACAACTTACAAGAGTTAAAAAAAGACTTATAAATGCCGAATACTTACACTTCTTTGCAAGGAGTCCCAGGCATCAGTTATCAAACGATTTTGGCTATTTTTTCTTAAATCTATACCATATCCTTTTGACAATGTATTCACAATATTATCTTTTACTTGCCCTGTAAGCTGTAAATAATTGAATAAAAGTTTACAAAGCTAATATTTACAGTCATGTTAACAAGAGCTGTCCGTAAGACAGCGCGCTCGACTTTTTTATTGCTTGCCAATAAAAAAAGTTTTTGCAGTAAAAGGCAATACAAGAATCTCTGTATTTTTAAAGTGAACAATGGCCATGAGCATTAAGATATTTAGTGAAGAATTATTTTACTGAATTGTGTGATACCCTTGAACACTGCAGCAAAGTTTGAAATGTTTAAGTCAAAAGAGGGCTGGTAAGAAAGAAAAAAAAACTGAGTTGAGCCTTAAATAAATTTAATAGTATTAAACCCACTTTGAGAGAATAAGGTATTTTTACGTCACTCAGAACACCTTGGTAAATGACATAATAACATAATTTTTCAAGAAATCTATGCCAAGGAAGCAGTATATTTTTGTACAATCAGCATAATATATAGATTTGACTTTGTATGTGAAAGTATTATAGTTACCTTATAATACAAGTAATAGATAAATTTTATCAAGCTTTTTTCTAAGTCGATAAAAGGCCTTAATTTTTAAAACAAATCCTTGACAGAGTTACCTTCTCTTGCGTACAGATGGGGGTAATGATGTGAAATAGCATTAAAAGTTTCAAAGCAATATCTCAAAGGGTTAAGGCAATAAGTGGATTTTACCCATATTCAATGTATTTTCTAAGTCAAAAAGGGGCATAATTCTGTCAAAAACCTTGACAGAGTTATGTCCTCTTGTCTGTTGATGAAGGTCGTGATGGTAAACAAGTATGGTCAGTTTCAAAGCAATACCTCCAATGGTTTTGAAATAAAGTGAGGTGGTACAAAAAACTTAACCAAGCTCAATACACTTTCTAAGTAAAAAAAGGGCCATAATTCTGTCAAAAACCTTGACAGAGTTATGTACTCTTGTCTGTAGATGGAGGTTATGATGGTGAACAAGTATGGTAAGTTTCAAAGCCATACTTGTAATACTTCTGAAATAAAGTGGGGTGGTACGAAAAACTTAACCAAGGTGTGACGCCAACGCCGACGCCGGGGCGAGTAGGATAGCTCCCCTTTTCATAGAAAAGTCGAGCTAAAAATCATAAAGTAAGACATCATATAAAAAAACAATAAAAAGACCACGAATTTCAATATTTTAATGTGAAAATATAGTTAAACGTTAAAGTTGTTACTTTGGACTTTGTTACCTAGAGAAATATGAAGTTTGGGATCTATACATCAAGTGGTTTTCAACTATTGATAGGAATTTCATGTTGGTCTGTCACTTGACAGACAGACAGACAGACAGACAGACAGAAGGCTCTAACACTAACCGTGCTGTAACTAGCATAGTGAGAACCAGGCTAGCCTGTACATCCATGCAGTCTTGCCAGGCTTTATACCTTGGTTGGCAAACTTCATACTGATATTAATGAACATTTAATAAAAAGGACAACTGGACAATTCCATTTAAAGAAGCATGCCTCCAGATGCATGCTTATTTTCATAAATGTATGAAATATATTTAAAAGTAAAATATTATGAAGTGAAGAAAGACAGTAATTTACGCGCGGCACTTAAAATGAACGTTAACTACCAAAGTCACGCAGAAGAAATATGATGATAAATACTTCAAAATCAGTTTTTAATCGCACATAACATATAAATAATTATTTTAATCTTGAATCTTTTAACTGTTCTTAATATCTTAATAAATTTTTCTCAAGTTTGATTTTCCTGAAATATTTTTGGTTCACCTGGAGGTATACAGCTTTAAGAAACTCAGCATGTTAATGATGAAGCAAATCAATTTGAACAGAGTATTATCAAAGTTTCTAATATTCATCTGAGTGTAACATAGTTGAATGATATCGGTTTTAAATTACATATCGCACATTTGTAAAGCTTATCATTATGTTACATAACTAGGTATATATACGTCGTATAGTAACAGAAGCTGTGTTCTTATATTTCAATCTGTCAAACAACTCTTAATGTTGTGCAAGTCTACCATTATTTACACCGTTTTTTTTTTACAAAAAATCATTAAACAAAATTACATTACATGAAATTATTAGTAGGACTTTTATTAAACACTAATAAATGAGATACGCAAATAAAACACATGTATAAATCATGACGTATATGTTTACTTACTTCATTTCTAAATATAAAAGCTAGTGCACTACCGGATACAAGGGCAAGAAGGACTAAAGTCAGTGTTACGCCGTACTGAAAAACAACAAAATATAGTCAAAATCTTTATACTAGCGAATCGATCAAAAGTAAATCACACCATAAACAGTGACATGTACATAGTGTACGACCTGTATGTAATAAAAACACTATGAAAATAAACGCAGTACAAACAAAAGTAATCAGTGAAATACAATACGTGTGATCTTATACACAATAAAGACAATCTTTTACAAATAGTTTAAAGTTTCACGGATCTCAACATTTTAAAACATATATTAACATTTAAACTTACATTAGCTGGCTTAGATTCACTTGCCTATTACCGCTGCGGGTTCGAATCCAAAAGAGGCATTTATTCTATGTGCTAGCCTACAGATAGTCACTGGTCCTGCTAAGGTGACTGCTCATGTTTGAAATAATGCACGAGGGTGCACATTAGGACAACATCTATTAGTAAAACTGAAAAGTCACTAAATGATCTTGTAAGATAAAACTCGGAGGAATAAAATTAAAACTTACAAAGGCCAAAACACATTTATCTTCCCGCATTGTGCCACAACAGCCGCAGAATGCCAGCAAGGCTATGGTTCCCCCACCAGCAATCATCAGGTATGTACCTATCTCGAAAAGGTTCGAACCTACAAGCACCGTTACCTCCCGAGCGCTGTACTCTGTTACTAGCAGCCATATTCCAACCCCAAGAACTCCTAACCCAAGTATCTATAACATCAGTATTATATCGTTAAATATTAAAAACTAAATACATGTATATTTTGATAGCTAAATTCTAGTTACAACGAAAATGCTGTAAATGTACTCCATGTATAAATGTGTTTTAAGAATATTTTAGAAAAATGTGCTGTTCCAGACATACACTTTCCTATTTTTTTAAATAAAGATACTAATTCTGAAATATTAGCGAGTAAATTAAGTTTGGTAATGTCATTCCACACGAATTACTGCTTCAACTATCATATAAATTATGCCGTTAAAGTATAGATGTCGGATACAATCCAGGCCGTAACTTACCAAGATAACTATGTTATAACAATGCACAGCTGTTCTAAGGCACGAGAAACATGGTTCTTCCGGTTGACTACGTATTGACAGAGAGCGCACATGCTTGGCAGGATATCGTGGGTAGTCATCTAGATGGCGTTTATTTAATGGCTGAAATTAAAAATAGATATGCTATAAATTATTCTGCCTTTGAAAGCACAACTATGAAGATTTAATCTAAGTGTGACAGTTGCAACTGAGATAAACCTGAGATAATACAACAACCAAATATACATGTATATATACGTTAACTTATTTAAAATTATCCGGAAATTCTGATGCTTGTAGAAGACGGATGAGAAGCCTGGACCATGTATTATTAAGTACAAATAAGGCGCCGTAAGTAACACATTTCTTTCAAACAACCAATCGGAACACAGTTACTGGTTCCCTGCGGGCAATACTTTCACTCAGTTTTGTAAAAGACATGTTTAATGGGTTTGGCAGGTGTGTGGCTTGCTCAATAATTCTAGAAATAACGCCTGATGTATTCTAGCGGCGACAAATCATGAAAAAACGAACTTCACAATATCCTAAATGTTGTGCAACTATAATAAGAGTATTTTAATACAGAGAAATGCCTGTATGTCGTCAGTAACAAAATATCCCTCTGAGGCATATCACCTTACTGTAATCTTGTCTTACAGAAATGTTTCTAACAAATATGTATGCAGGCAACAAAATTTAACAATTTTCAAGTAAAGTAGATCTATCATTTATAAAATGTACCATGTTAAAATCTGAAGGTTTTTTTTACACATTTTAACGTACATATTGAAAAAGAATGTCTGATATGCTTAATATAAGGAAATCTGTTTAGTCAAAAGATTATAAATAAAGAGGCCCTGGTAGCAGCATTTTTAACAACCTTATATTGCGTTGACTATAACATATACTATGCTGTTGTCTGAAATGATTCAGTTTAGAAACTGACAGTTTATATGCGGTAAGAAACATTTTGACTTGAGAAATACTAGTCACTGTAATTTCCACACGGATTTAACTGAACAATAAAGAAAAATAATTGAACAAAAATATTCAGTATACATGTACACTAAATCGACTATTCCCGGATTCAATAAATTTTGTTATCCAATTCATAAAATGCATTCTTAAAATTAAACAATACTTATATTAAATTTTAGTCATTAACCATACTTGTTGCGGAAAGCCGAATTCTTCATGTTTATTAGTCTTTTATTGACTTTCTCTCATCACTATGAGTTACTTATAACTGCGCATTGACACAGATGGTTGTTTCACACCGAACAAACAAAGAAACTACCCAGGGACATCTTTATACCGTCATAAGATCAGTCTCTAATATAAACCCTGCAAGAACACACCGACAAACAAATCGTTTCTGTTTAATGTTTAATGATTCCTACACTCTGTTTTAAGGCTACATCTTGAATAATGAGGTCTGAACGTGCACAAATGATCTTGGTGTAAAATTATAAAATGAATGTGATTTCTGGACCAATTATCCGACAAATGAGATATGGAACTATTTTGTTAGAGGCGAAATATTTACGCTATAGTATAACGGCACGAATTCAATAAAATTGTCCAATAGACTGATAGACAAACAATACGAGATAATATGGAAGAATGTAGCGATCAATAGCTATCTATCGCTGATTTTCCTGTAGTTTGTTCCGAACACGTCCCTTGTCTATCGTAGAGACTGTATACGAACATAAAACCTCTACAGAGACTTCCTCTAATATCATAGAAACCTTAACAAAACGTCTTTGGCTCTGGTAGGCCTACACATAATGGCTGAATGTTCAAATAAACCCGTTTCTTTGGTTAGAACAGTGTTCCGAGATAGTGCATATTCTATAATGTTCAATACAGAAAAAGTGTTTCTTATTTTTATAAGGATGTAGATATAATTATTTAATCTTCAGACGCCCAGCTTTAGCTTACAGATGGCGCCGTTACATATGCGAGAGGCTGGAAATTAGCGAATTCTCTTTGAAGACCGGTCGATTGTTTTAATGCCACTGCTAATCGCTATATAGTAGAGAACCCTTAGAGAGTGTTTACCGCAGTTTATGTAGAGAAGACACTTTGTAAGGCATCATGTAATGGCGTACTGTCACGCACGTGCGATATTTCTTTGACTCCCTGAACGTTTAAGATCATGAGATGAACGCATCAAAACAGTAAATTGCTTTGTAAAGACCGATGATTTCACGTTACATGTCAAACCATATACATTGATTAATTCCCTATGTCGATTTTATAACCCTGTGTTTTATTATGTTACAAGTTACTGTAATAGTTTGTTTCTTTTTACACCAAGATAAAGTTGACGATTGTGGCGAACAATAACTAAATAGGGCAGACATATTTGATAAAATACATATCACATTGTACTTTTCCTGAAGCATGTTTGTCCAGAGTTCAAGGTTCGAGAGGATGAGTTTAGAAAAAAGTGTATGAAAGTTGTCGTTACATGCGACTATTTTTACTTTTCAAAAAAAACAATTCCGCATCTCACGTCATATCAGATATCGTAAATTGTCAGTTTATGGTGTATAGCCAAAAACAAACCATACTTCATTTACAATAAAACAATAATGGATTTTGGACGCGTTTCAGCTCGGATTGGATTTACACTGTATGCATGCTCAGTCAGATAAAAAACATTTGTCAAACTTTTATTCTGCATCTATATGAAAAGCAATCTTCATATTTTACCAGAGAAATATAAATATCTCGAACACGTCAAACACGTCATTACGTATGACTCTTCCGGGACAAATTATTGTACCATAACTTTATTTACCGTTGTGTACACTTAACGTTGTCGTAAGTGTTTTGTTATAAATATGTCAAATATTAATTACATTTTTACAAGGAAAAAAGTCAAAATGAATTAAGCAGGGAAAAGGTACAAAAATGTTATCACGGAGACTTATAAGCTTCACTAACATCAAAGCAAAACTTAGTTTAAAACATATTTTATTCCTTTCAATTTTTACAAGATATATACAATGCAAATATATAGATAAAAAAATAAAAAAATACATTTTGGTTGGACCACAAGTTCAAATAACATAAGTAATTCGGTCCGTCCTTCTACATACTTCGAAGGATGTAATTCCACTGAGAGGTCTTGTATCGCATGTAAGGTCAGGGTCACATGCAGAGGTCAAAGGTCAGATTAAAACTGAAAATACTTGTTTGGACTATTTAGTCTTCATTTATATTGTGGAATTGAAAATGTTATGCGTATAATGTGGCAACGGAACTCTTGTAACTTTTTATGTTTATCATATATTTTTTTTTAATTCAGAACACGATTAAAGATTGTGTTGTTTATCTAATCATTTTCCTTTCATTATTGTTACCTTTATCATAGTGCGTTTTACAACAATGTACATGTACAGAGATAAGCTATCAGTTACACCAGGTTCAAGTCCTTACTGAAAGGTAAATTTGCTGGACACCGGGCGCTTAAAAGAAAACATAAACAAGAAACCATGTATCTATGATGTTTTTACACTTTATGTTTAAGGAGACTATGTTATCTAAGCAGTTTTGTCCGTACCGGTGTTGCTATGTTAATATCATCTACTTGAAATTTGTTAATATGACTCGACAACGTATAAGTTTAGTATAAACAGATAAATAAAACTAAACATCAGATACGGTTAGTTTTATCGAAAATTAAAAGTGAGGGATTGAAAGCAAGAGACGAGATACGGTTCCAAACATTAGAATAAAATTTACAAGCTACACATTTTGAGCTTCGGTAATTGTAGGAGATATCATAAAATCATTGCCAATATAATGCTGATGTAGTAATTGATATACATTCCTAATCACGATATCAAAATATTTTATTAATTAACAATCATAATGATTCATAAAATGGCATGTAATGATTAATTTAATGACAATAAAGAAGTTGCAACAGCTACTGATACTTGCCTCTTTGTATTCTGTAAATGCCATATCTTGTTATATTTCACTTCTTTATTCTTTTATAAAGAACTAATATATTTTAAAAATCCTATACTTAAAAATTGAAATATAAACTCTAAGATATCAAAATATTCCGAATAACGAAAGGCGATAAACTGTCTAAATTAAAAATAAAAACCCCTGTGACGCTCGTTGACAAGCTTCATTTACATATAAAATACAAAGTAAGATTTAAGTAATGATTTAAACAGGTTTATATCTTTTATACGTATCAAATGATGAATATTTATCCTTAAAACCGGGGTTTATGTCCACCACATAAAACACATTGTTTAAGACTATAAGAAGGAGTATAATAACATCATAATATTTGTCTTTTGTTCAATGTTTTACCCATAATGACTGGGGGCTTTACAATAGAATGCCCGTTCATTCACATTTGAATAATAATTGTGTTGCTATTGAAACTATAGAATAACTGATGTTGGAATATTCTGTCATTTCAACACAATACTAAGGCGATCAACCGTGTCATTGTGAAAGAAAACCCAGTAGACAAAAGCATATCTGAATTTTAAGTTTGAAAAACAAATGCTTTAAATGTTAACGATTTTAATCTGCTTGTCTAATCTTTCTTAAAACTGTCATCTTACTGGTTGTAGGGTTACGTGACATGCTGGGGACATATGCTGTGTCAACTCCACAACCAGGATTTACATTATGACTCAACACAGTATTTAAGATTTAAATACGATTTAAAAAATACCCAAAAAATAAATTAACGGGAAAGGACAAGAAAAACAATCAAAACACATCGCTACTTAAAGGAAACACGTTCATATATAAAAAAGACTATCTGGTTATGTTGGGTAAAAAGAACGTGCTGTCACTAAAAAGAATCATACTTTCACTCAGACAGAACATATCGTTGTTTAGAGAGAACATGTCGTCATTTAGAGAGAACATGTAATAGAAAGAGCATCGAAACACGAGGCTATCTGATTTGTACGAGGGGGCGTAGCCCCCGAGTATTAATCAGATTGCCAAGTGTTTTGATGTTCTTTCTCTTTTGTATCATAGTCAAACATAAAAACACGTTCCCTGTTGTCACAATATGAAACCCCGGAGAAAAGTAACCAATGAACGAGCATCTAAATATCATATTTCTGTCGCTTTCACTTTCTCTGCCGTCACAATAAGTAAACCCCAGCAAAAATGAGCCAATCAATGAGCATGCTCTGGAGTGCGGGTAACTAATACCTGCACTCCAGTTTACGCATGGTGCATGTATATTTATACGATTTAACTCGGACACATTTTCAACAGAAAGGTCCCCAAACTATGATACAAGTCGTCATTTAAATAGAACATGTTGTCATTTAAAGAAAACATGTCGTCATTTAAAGAGAACATGATCTTGTCTGAAAAGAATATATCATCACATAGAAAGAACATGGAACCATTAAAAAGAATATAAAGAGAACAAATTCTAATTAAAAGAGAACATAACAGAGATTATAGCGTCAGCCAGAGATTAAAAACGAATATACTGGCGTCATTTCAGAAATATTCATTGAAAAGGAACATATTGTCACTTAAAGAGAATATATCGTTATTTAGTATATTCTTTCTGTCAGCCTTTATTATATTTTACTTTCACTTAATTAAGATTATATTACATTACATTACAAACGTTTAATTATTGCGTGACGTAAACATTTCACTTTTCTTCTTAAAATATTTTGTTTAACTAGGACTCGAGGGACGTTCAATCTTTATTAAAAACATTCGATGAATAATAAACCAGCGTCAAAATAATGTCTAAATATAATTGCTGACACCTTCCTTAAACATCTTCAGATCGATTTTCTCGTGCAAGCACGCAACAGTTAAACATTTACTCCAGTCGTATATGATACAAATATTCTTTTATTGTGGCTTTAAATTATCAAATTGGTTTATTTATAGAAAAACAAGCAATTATCATAGTATTGCAAGCAATCCATAAGTCCCCTACCGGTAAGAGCCCAAGCAACATTCTGAAGGGCCATTGGCCATTCACTTAGGTTCCTATTTTAAGTAAATTTGTTGAAAAAGTTCTTTAAAAGTGATCACAGGAAATAGTTTTTATGTACAGACAGACAGACTGAAAGACACTCTAAAGTTATTTTTTAAACATCCCTGTTATCAAAATATAACATTTTTTTAAATCCTATCATAATTGAAGAAGTTGGAGAAAAAAAATACCAATTTCTCAAAAAAAGTCTAAGTTCAAAAGGGGCATAATTCTGGAAATAGTCTTGTTAGAGTATTGAACACTCACAAATGTTGAGTGACAATAAGAAACATTTATATGAAGTTATAAGTATAGATACATTCAGAAAAAGAAGTTATTAAAAAAAACAATGTTTTTTTCATGAAAATTTCAAGTTCAAGGGAGGTAATTCTGATAAATTTTGTGCTAGAGTTGTAAACCTTGTCACATATGATGTGGTTGATGACAATCAACTTATATTTAAAGTTTGAAGAAAATACCTTAAGAAATAAAGAACTTATAGTGAAAAAACTTAAAAACTAGAATCAGAAATCTTGAAATTCAGTCTATTTGTTGCCATAGCAACCAGAATTTTCAACAAAGGAAGATAAGAAAAGGATGTGAATAATTTCCATACTGCCATCTACCCATATGTCAAGTTTCATAAACATATTTTCAGTACTTTTTGTGTTATCACTGGATCCAGGTTATGTGTAAAATTTGACCATTTATTAAGTCATATTTGTTGGCCATATGAAAATCCACATTTAGCAACATGGAATAAAAGAAAAAGAGGACAAATTCATATTGACCATCTAGCAATATATCAAGATTTAAAAACGAATATTTCCCGTATTTAGCTGTTATTGGATGAGTTATGTATTAAAATTTGATCATATTTCTTAGTTCTATTTGTTTCCATGCACCAGATTTTACTCACAATGAAGAAATAAAAAAAACGTCATTATCTGCATAAACTTCTCATCTTCTTAAAATTTCTTTAAAATATGTTTCAGTCTTTTTAAAACTCGTTAAATCCGGTCAAGTTTTTGTGACACGGACTGAACATCAGACGACGGCGAGCACGCACAGACAACCGAGCGTATGTAAACTTATAATTGGTTAAAACCAGATTGGTGGTATTTAAAAAAGAACGAAAAGTCAGTTATTAGAGGGGGTGTTGTTTTTTGTGGTGCCGGCTGTGACATAGGATGTTTGTTTTAGAGAAGACAGCTGTTTAATACAACATATATGATGCTGAAAAAAAATCATGTTAATCGGTGCAAATCCCGTCATGGGTTCGTCGATCAGTATTGAGGACAAATTTAGAAAATGCTTTTGTAATGCGTCTGAAAAGAAATTTAAATAAGCAAAGAGAAATTGTTTGTATGAGATCATATTAATAAAATGGTAAAAAGTTTAACGAACTATGCATGCACGAATAGTCGAATATCTTAATGTGTTACACACTGTTAGTAATTGATCTTTAACTCCATGTTTTCACACATTTTAATATAAATAATTTGATAATAAACAAAATAAATAAACTTACAAATAGAAATTTTAACTTTTGTTCATACAGGAAGCTGCTTCGCTGAGACTAAAATACGAAACTTCACGACCAAACCCTTTTGAATTAAGATTAAAATACATACACTTTTATTTAAAAAAATAAAGTCAGTAGAATAGACGTCGAGTACCTCAGCGTCTTGTCAGGTTCCATGCTGTTTGAAAAAATTAAACAGACGACATTTTTAGCAGACGACAATTTTAATAGCACGCTTTAAGATTAACAGGGTGTTTATTTTGGCCAAATGTTCTTAACAACAATTTGACATTCTTTTTATAGTTTTGTTGAGGACATAATACATCTCCATTAAGGACCTCCTGTTAGGAAATCATTTTGTATATACTAGCTAGTATATACATATAAAATGTAGCCATTGTATATACGCTTAGGTCAACCGAAATAATTCTTTATAATTTTTGAGGATTTTTTTAAAGCAAAAGTTTCTGCTTAAGCAGAATAATAATGGACTAGTGCTTAGATTCTCTTAATAAATATAACTAATGGCTGAGACAAGACCAGATGGTAGCCGAATATACAGCAAATATCAAACATTAATACTGATAACAATAAACATATTAGTTTGTATGAAAGATTCCAGATGTAGCCAAATGTAAATATCCGATAAGTGTTCCTCTTAATTGTATATCTATAATTGTCATTAATTGATCCCTAGACTACTTTCTGATATTATGGCACGCGCTAGAAACAGGAAAAAACATACATTCTTCAGATTATGATAATAATTATCTATTATTTCTTTCAAATGTATTTCAAATATATGCAAGAAATTAATTTATTTTGTTGTCGATTTTTTTCTGTTAAAAGACTTAATATAGTAATCATGGGCTCAAATAAAACTTTTGTAAATAAGAAACACTATTGACCGCAATAAAATATAGACAATTTTTTTAATCTTTATCAGATAAGCCCGTGATAACATGATTACAGAATAATATAAAATTCATAGTTATTCAAATACTGAAGAAAGCCTTCATTCATATTATTATAGTCCCCAGCAGCGACAAGAAAATGTTCAATGAAACACATTGTATACGTTTCTCAAAGTAAATCCGATTTTATGCATGTAAACGTATTTTCGAAATGTTCTGTGCGTTATATAAAATTTGTATATGTAGTATATATAAACTGATTAACGTATATATGACAAGTTCACTGGTATTTATCATGTACGCTATATGAATAATGCATATTTATTACATGTTGTGATTTGCTCGAGGCATTATCATGTCCTGTATAGCTAACTGACCCTAACTTAAACACACATATGCCCTAGCACAAATAAATTAAATATTCATTGTATCTAATTTTGTACATTTATCTAACGAGTATAAATAAAGCGGGAAAACAGATTTTCTGAGCGTGGAGGTGACATGTTTCGTACTGTAAATTTTAAAGAAATATCATGCTTACCGTTGTAAGGGAGCCATCTCGGCTATATTTCCTCCCACGTTTAGGTTTGGGCGGAGGTTTTGGTGCCTTCCGTTTTTCTCTTTTACTTTCGAATTCTTTTTCCTCCATAAGTCCAGCCATAATATATTAACAAACTTTTATAAATTAATGCATGCTTATCCACTCAAACTTTATATCAGAGAAATTCTTAGCAGATATTGTCACAAACAAACCAAATTATTCTTCTTATCAGTGCTGAAATTTCCTCACAATAACTGACAACACCTCAACTTTCAATGAATTGTGTCTTAACTTTTAATCAATTCGTTTCTAATGTTCACTAGAAACTACACAACACTAATTTCCGATCTGTTACACTTCCAGAAAAATACTTCCAACTGAAATGAACACAGAAAAAACACGAAATAAACATAATTTCCTATCCATTTCAAGACGAATATGTGATAACCAAGTCTGTACTATATAACGAGATAGTCTATATAATATTTAACACGCACTTTCTCTGAAAATTTGGACGCAATAATAGTAATAACTTTGCCATTGACCTTAAATTACATTCAGCAAAATTCTTTATGGTAACTTTTGACTTGATTGTTCTTTCGTTGATAGAAACGTTGCCTAGACAGATATCTTTTTAATATTTATAATCATTATATGGTGAAATATGAAAACATATTTTCCGTCTGAAATATTTTACGATTTTATGTATTCATCCTACAAATAAATATTCAATAAGTTTCTGTAGCATTGACATATAGAGCTGTTCGTAATTACAACTAGAAGTTGGCGTTTTCAATTTTCTTGAATGTTCAAGCACAGACCTACATTTGAAACATATATAATATATACATGTTTTGTAATACACAATAACACTTTTATTTCTAAACATGTAACTATAGGCTTTGTAGCAACTTAATAATGGTGGAAAATACAATGATGTTCTCTCATAGAAGAAATAATTGATTTTAGATGTTCACTAAGATTTTAGAAGATCAAGATCAAATAACATGAAACAGTTATTGCGTGAAAGGAAAATAAAAGGAGCGTTCTAAACTTTAAACACACGTTTTGTCACCCAATAGAATAGTGACCAAATACAACATATCTAATCCTTTAAGTAAACTAATTAGTTATCGCCCTAACTGGTATGTAATCGCAACAGTAAACAAGGAAATGCAAGTCAAAATATACATGAGTTATTATAGAACTAGAATATATCATGTATAAAAAATGAAAATCATCAAAATCTGGACGCACGAGAAAAACGTGACAAATTGTCGCCGACTATTTTTTCTGTTTACATTCAACAGTTCAACATGTACATGACTATGATTAGATTATAAATTGTGTAATAATATTTATAAGTACACGGTCTTGCAAAAATGTTTTGCTTTTGAATGTCTCGTATAAATGCAGGTTTTTCTTTTAAATATCAGTTGTACAAAAGAAGAGATACTTAACTATTTTTGTGATATATTTAAAATATATTTACATAGTAATCCTATTGTTAAATTCCAATGTTCTGTTAAGACTTTAAAACTACAATAATGTGTCAAACGTTTTAAAAATAAAAACCCCTACCTTGCTTTTTGACTTTTTATTCTCAAACAATAATAATCACAACGTTACTCATAAAACGGATCTTATATTGTATTAAATAAAAATACACTCCTTATACGAAAATAAAAACACGACATTTTGAAATCATCATTTTGAAATTGTGATTGCGTCTTGCTCTATTACCCACATTTACACCACTGACTTTGTTATTGAGATATGACTCGATAAAGCATCCCTAAACATGGTCTATACTAACATTAACTTTAATCAATAAATCAGTATTCACCATGTGCAGTTTATAATCCATCTCTTGTCACATACCTATACTTTCTGAATATTGATCATAACTTTTATATCTGTGACAAGTCTTTCTACTATAACTAAATCTCCACCATGTAAAGTTCACTTATACCAGTACAGTTTTTACAATTGTTTACCATAAACGATAGAAAACTTAAGTTACCTTTTCCTAACGGAATACTCATAAAATACACATTCACATACACACTTGTATTAAAGCAAAAATAACACTCGTAATTTTGTAACTAGAAGATTATAGCTGTTTTAATATGTCCATTAAAGTTTTAAAACTATTTTGACATAACCAAATAAGACACCGATAGTAAAAGTCAAGCCTCGTTTTGAATCACAGGTATGTCGCGTTATATATACATGTAAACAACGCGGTCTTTCAAATAAATGCAAGCTTTTAGGCACAGCGTACATGTATAGTTTGATATACAGTTACAATGTAAATATAAACATCATATCTACACAAACTGATAAGAATTTAAAACGTGTTACAACACGACTCCAAGTTGGATATTATTCACACCATCGTTTTTAAAAAGTACCCATTTTCATGCAGGAATTACACTGTACTGTTTATAATATGCTTAGAATATATATATTTTAACATCGTATATATTTTACCAGAATTCAACGATTTCAAACCAGGATAAGTTGATTCATTACAAGCATAATTGCAATATTTATCCCGGCAAAAACAGTTACTCCCGAGAACAAGAACAAAGGGAAATGTTTCTACAACATGATGGCCGTATCAAATGACTATTTAAGAAGCGTCAAGTGTAGTATTATGCCTTGATTAATTCTATATGGTGTTTTCAAATCTGCCTCTAGTGTGTGTGAAAGAACAACAAAAGACAAAATCAATAAAAGACCTGCGGATTGTGAAACAAAAAGAGAAAATAGTCATTAAGTCTTCCTTCATGTCAAGTGACAACTTTCACAGCTTCAGTAAATTACAAATCTGAAAATGTACGGGAAACAATCAGACATTGACTTGACGTACATCTGGCGAAATTTACATGCTTTTGTTTGGGTGGTTTTATTGTTAAAACTTAGTCTAATAGTATTAAAATGCTTTCTAACAATTTATTGACATTTGTCAACATTAACATTTAAGCCCGAACGAGTTGTCGCCCTTTATATACTATTGAACGTGTCGCCAAGAGATATTGTAAATATAGCTTAATCCGTTTTACAAGGTTAGCTTTTAAAAAAGCTAGTAGCGACTCGCTTCGTAATTTTTTTCAAGGGGTGTGTTTAAATGTAAAAATGACAGTTCTGTTAGCTGAAGAGACTTCAGCGAACATCAAAATAAAAGTGAAGTCAACACTGGCCAGGTGCCCGATGGCCAGTGTATATAAGTTCAGGCCAGTGTAAATTTAAGAAAATTTAGTTAATTATTTAGCAGAATAAATTCAAAACTGGGATTCGGGCCAGTAAATTCAAAATCTTAAACTCATTGACTGAAAGTGACATATAAAGTTCTCTCAGTTTAACCAAGATGAGTATGAGTATATATGAAGGTGCATGTAAACAGATAGAATGAAGAACCTATGTCTATGCACATTTAGTATATGGCCTGTTGACCTTGACCACAAAATGTTAGATAGGTAGATTTCATAAAGATGTCTCTTTATACAAAATTAAGTTGTAATACATGTATGTTATTTAGTATTGGAATGAGAGGCACAAGTCCTAAATTAAACACAAGTTGTCAATCAATTCAGCCAGAAACGCCGGGATCCTATTAAAAAATATAGGGATCCCGGAAATTGACCAGTCTAAGAAGATGTTTTTCAGATAAGCCGGGATCCTATTAAAACATATAGGGATCCCGGGAATTGACCAGTTCAAGAATATAGTTTTCAGAAAAGCCGGGATCGTATTAAAATGTAAATAGATCTCACGGATTGGCCAGTTCAAGAATATAGTTTTCAGAAAAGCCGGGATCGTATTAAAATGTAAATAGATCTCACGGATTGGCCAGTTCAAGTATATAGTTTTCAGAAAAGCTGGGATCGTTTTAAAACATATAGGGATCCCAGGATTTGACCAATTCAAGAAAATAGTCTTTGATTTTTCCAATTAATTAGGCATATAATTATAAGTATTGTGATTTCCGCATTTTAAGTTTGTTAATAAACAGTTCTAAATATATCTATATTCTAAGTTAAATTAATTTAACGTTCATTACATACAAAAAATTAACGTTTAATGGCCTTTCATTACGACAACAATCAACACAAATATAGTTCATTAGGTTTTTCCTCCATATCTTATACGATCCCAGATCCCGGGCGCCCCGGATCCCGGCCAGTAAATACATACACTAAATACCGGAAAGGATAAAATGACCGGAAAAAAGGAAAAATAAAAAATGCACAGAACCAGATGTACACTTATGTTAATTAACCAAACGAAAACTTACTACAGAGAAAACAGGTGAAATCGCTAAATCAGAAGTCAGTGTAAATATGATTTATTGAAAAGAACTCATAAAGACAAACATTTTAATCATCATTATATCTTTGCGCTCAAAACAATACTTGCTGATTTTTAAAAATGGCGTGAAAATTGAAGGTTTTTTGACGCTATGTAAGATTAAATTTGATTGGCTAAATGATTTTGGATCCTAGCCCTGATAGATAAATTTTGTAGAAAGCTGGAAGCCAAGCTTCGATTAAATTTTGGATAGCTTTGGAGTTTTAGGTTGTTTCTCAGTAAAATCCTACCGTAATACCGGCTCGCCGTGGCGAGCCGGCATAAGCACGTGTCGATGTAGGAAAATATACATTTGTCTGTCTTGTTACTATATCTCAGAGATGTAGATAACTTTTCAAATGTAACATTAGTATTTTCTTTTATTTTCTTTACTTTTTTTATTCTCTTGACACAGAGGACATGGCTTTAACAGTTCATAAAATATTTCATTCAAAAGGAAACCTGAATGAATATAAATATTCTGAATACACTGAAGAATAAAATGTTTGATTTATTTGATTATTATATTAATAATTATATATTATTGTTATTATTATAAGACAACTTCATGTCGTATACCAATGTGATTACGATTTTTTGATACCAGTGATATTACTCCGCGAGTCAAAATTATATCCGAATTATGACTAGCAAGATATAGAGATGTAATCAGTGAAGGAACTATATTTTGCTAATTATATATTGATTCTATCTAATCATCGTCTGGAGACATTGCTACATCAGAATTATTAAGTTCATCAGAGAGTATAGAAGACACGTGACACACTAAAATGACAAAATGAATCTGAAAATATCCTGGAAACATTCTCGAGTAAATCCTTTAACTCTTTCTATCTGAAGTGACTGGCATTAAATGTATGAATGCTTGACTACTTTTCGATATTATCGACTAAACATCCGTCAAAAATGCGGACCTATGACAGACGTAGTCGCTCATTGTCAGACTTGCAGAAAAGTGAAAATTGACCTTCGTCCGCCTTGACTTCTAGTTCATAAATATACGTGATTGATTTAGAAAAAAACAAAACAGAAAAAACATTTCCGCCAAAATTTTAATTTTGAAATTAGAATAAAGTATTTTAAGTTGACAAGTAGTTATTAAATACATTCCTTTCCCGTTACTTATTTTACTAGTTAACATGTTACAGATAATTATATACATGCATTTATAAAAATAGTAATTAAACTAGAAAAAAATATTTATAAAGATCATTTTCTTTAAGGTCAAGAAATAACTAAGACGCAAAAATGACCGATATCTTTACATCTTTAAACAATTTCAAATTCGTTTTTTAACATAGACGATATTTTTTACCGACAAGAAATTTTATTACAAACGGACTTGCATTCTCGGAGGCGTAATATCATCGACAATGTACCAGAAATAACTAAGCAACGTAATTAACAAATTATGGGTCATATTATACATATTATATGAATATAGTTATCTTGATATAGTTCCTGCCGAGAGCTAAATTGTTTCTTATTGATTCGCTCATCCACATGTGTCAAAGTTAATTCATCTAAACCTATCGATATAGAAGCGGATATATGGTTTTATGTCTTCCATACGCTCAAGCATTACCGTGATCTTATTAACACCATATATATCTTGTATATGCATGCATTCGGAACACCTCGGCAGTTATTCATAATGTCCTTAGATGTGACCGAAAAGTGATTGATATGCATGGTAGACTCGTACTCAAATCATGATTATCTGCCCTCCATGGTGCACGTTCTCATTTTTACTCGCCTATTCTTCTCAACTATTCGAAGAATAGTTGGGCTTTATACTGCCCGGTTCGTCGGCGTTTGTGTAACACTTAAATAGTTTGTGTTCAAATACCACTTAAGGTATTCAGTAGAAGTTGCACACATCTTATGAGTTAACTATCCAAGACCATTTACTTTAGCACGGATTTCAACAGTGCAAACTTAATAAAATCCGTTGGTAAAAGTTTTGCATGTCAGCTCAACCTTCACATTTATAATAAAGGTATTTGAAACTTTAACGTGTCTTTAGATTTTTTAATAAAGGTCACTTATAACTTAAGCATAGATTTTGCTTGAAAAAACCTAGTTTAAGTCTAGAGTGCAAGATCAATTATAGTATTCACTTGAAACTTCACTATCGTCTCCAAGATCATAGTTGAAACTCACTTTCCAAGACCTGTAACTCTAGCTTGTATTTTGCTTGAATTTTAGCCCTTTCTGAACTAAGAGAATTCCTGCAAGATTATTTTTCACAACAATGTATCTTTGGGATTATAATTGTAGGTCTATGTTTTTAACAGAATTACATCCCTTTGTGAACTGAGAAGATTCAGCACGTTGTCCTACTGACAGCTCTTGTAGAAAGTTTTGTATGGCATGAAACTAATTGCTACATACGTAAGACTATAGACTAGTACGAACAATGCGGGCAATTTAACAACTATCAGTCTAAATAGAAGGTAAAGAAAAACTTTTCAATTTAGTTTTAAATGTGACCGTCTGATCATTAAAATTCGAAATACACAGTCACATATCTATTCATCTCAAACACTTAACCTTAAGCAGGGTCTTTTAAATGTGTGCAGTCTGACCAGATTCTATACTATCGTCTGACCGACTTCAAATTTCCATCTTGATATCCTCAAAATGACAATGGGCAATTCCAAAAATGGAAGCTGGACAAGTCCTTTTAAGAAATTCGGATGGTCAAGGTTATAGTTATCTCCACTTTCACAATTAATGAGCTAACAGTCAACAAAATATTCTATTACATGCACATTTAAATGGCATATTGAAACTCTAACGTTGCTATAAGAATATGTATATGTCTATAAGGTAAACGTCTCTATGCCTTTTTTGA